CTTTCTCAACCAATCAGCAAAGTGGAAGGAACATGTGCTAAATAAGTGCTCATTAACTATGCGGTGATGTCATAGGAAATGACCATATAGAAAGTTGTCTGTATTTCGATGACAAACTCTGATTGGTCGGTGAGATCAATTAAGATTTATTGTAAAAAAATAAAAAAAATAAAAAATAAAAAAATAAAAAAAATAAAATAAAAAAAAATAAAGATTTATTGTAAACTGAAAGAGTGAAGACGAAGCTCTCTTTAAGAAGTGAAGTTGAATGAATGCAAAGTGTAGTTGAGCCTGGGATACATAGATGAAGCTCTCTTTCATGATTTTATGAAAGCAAATTTAATCTACAGTGTTTGAATGTGTAGGAATTCATCTGAGCAGGAACCATGTTTGACCTGATGTAATATTGAACACTTTGAAACGGGTTCACATTCAATATGAGATTATTAGAAAAATTCTGCAAAAGTATTTTAAATGCCATTTTCCTAAATTCAAAAAATGATGGAATTCAAATGTACAAAATTGTCAGGGTTTACAATATTCCCCTGTAAAATTCAAATATTCCACCTAAAGGGCACTAAAGTGAAATTGTTTTTTTCTGCAGAGCTTAATTTGAAGAGAAATTCATTGTGTTATCTCATTCTCCTGATTTCCCTCCATAATGACAATGTCTACTGCCATTTCTCAGTTATAAACCTGCTCAAAGATTGCATCCAACTCATTTTTGCTTTTCTTATGATTTCTTAGGTTTCCTCAACACTCTTTGAAAATTTGCAGATTACCTGCATATTTGTCTAACTCATGTTATTTTTACAGGCATGTGTGTCAATTTTCTCAGTTATTTCTCTGTATTTTACATTATTTTCCTTAATTTGGTTGTAAGAATGTGCTAAGAGATGAGGTAATTTTGTGGGTAATAGGTTAGTTTTTATCACGACATTTTATCATATTCTCTCTCATTTAGCATCGCTCGATTAGCATTTTTCGCTCTCTCATCATCCAGGGTGATTATTGTAAAGTTAATCTTTCTCACCATTCAGTTTTCATTTTTAAAGTACCTAAGCTACTCAATTCTCAGTCTAAAGTGATAGCTTAGTGTAATTTGTTAAACTCAGTTCAATTTCACTTTATTTTATCATCAAACTCAGTAAGGGAGGGGGTCTTAGATATTCTTTATTTGTGTGATAAATCATAGTTTGGGATATTTGGGTTTTGTTTTTCTTAGAGTGCTTCTTTCTTTAGTTGTTTCTTTCTCATATGTTATGTAACGTTTTTGTTCTTCCCTTTTTGGCACGTGTTAACATATCCATGTTTTTTAAGTTGGCCCTTGTTATAATGATAATCTCTTGAAGAAAGGCTCGTCTCCTATGGATTAATATTTATCGGTCTCATAAACTAAACTATCTAAATCTCCAGGCTTCCTTGAACATAAATTTTATTGCTGAGACTATAAATGATTTCAAAATGGTGATCTAACAATTCCCAGCAAACCATTTCATGCATGATGCAATGTCTTTCCAATTACGCCACACAATAAATGGGCTAAAAGTTCATCTTTTCCGGGAATGCTCATTGATTCTGATGGTCCATTAATTTGAGAGACTTCGGTTTTGATCCTAGTGTGATCTCTCAATCAGCCACCCTCCCAGAATATTTCACTCGGGGCATCACAAAATCATTTTTCAGTGATTGCAGTTGGGATTTCAAATTGTTTAGTTTATATATTGATTAGGATGTCAATATCACATGTGTATGTTAAGATTATTGTTCCATTTTCCATATTTGATTAGATTTTTGAAGGAAATACAACTATTATGGTATTTATATTGAATGGTAATAGAGCAATTTGAATTCTAGGTATCTATGCTAATAAATACACAGTGGGCAGTCCAGGGATTTGGTTATGAGAATATTGAAAAATGAAATAAGCTTTTTGCAGTGTTCTGCACAAGTGGCAACAATTGAAACAACAACACACTCATATTAAATTAGTCCCTATCAATCATATCAACTGATAAAAGTGTTAAAAACGAAAAAGATAAGAATGGTCAAAGCCATGTCCCTTGACTCTGTATGGGGATGAGAATAGAGTGGAATATAAGGGAGTGATGCAAGACTTGCTCAATTTCAATAGTTCTTTCAAAGGGAAGAATTCGTGCAAGGAGAGGATGGGTGACTTGCGTGGATGAGGCTGCTCTAGCTTACATGTGATGGTCAAGTCTGAGATCCTTTAATGTCAGCCATAATCCATTGTCTTAATCCTTTGCACTGACTCACCCGTCTAAAAGTCCCCGTCTAAAGTTTGAAAATATTTTTTTATCATTCATTTACTATTTGTCAGGACTTAAAAAGTGATTTTAGAGATTTTTGAACAAAAAAAAATTTTTGAAAAAAAAGTTGTGAGCATTTCATTTCTCAAATATTCAAATTTCCCGCCATTTTTCAAAAAAAGTTGAAATTTCTTAATCATCAAATATTTCTTAATGCATTTCAAAAAAGATTATCTTTTTAACACCAATGCAAAGATTGAACAAAGGACACACTATTTAAATAATAAAATGCCATAGTTAATGGGCCACTTCAATGTTTTAGCATATCAAAAATATTTTGAAACATTAGTGATGTCACTAAGGTACCAAAAACTTTTTGAAAAAAATTGAAATTTTTTTTTCGATGTCAATCTTTTTTAAATATGCTAGACTTTCATAAAAAACAATGTTGAATGTCTAACCAGGTTAAAAGGAAGAATAAATTATGTTTTAGATATCATTGTACCATTGGTTTCTATGAGAACTAAAATTTTGAAATCCATTTTTCTCAGAACCATTTTCATGCACTGATAAGTTCATTTCTCGCTTATTTATGAACCGATTTTCTTAATTTTTTCGGCAAAAAATATGGGAGGATGAATGCTATGCATTGGTATGAATTGTGGCTAATTAGAAGATATGAGTGACCTCTAAAAGTTGGTTTTAAATAAATTCACAAATTTTGGAACAAAAAGTCTATCAAAAACCACTTTTTGAAATTAAAAAAAAAGTTTTACATATCACACTTTGATAACATTGGGTAAGACTACAATATAAGCCAAAGTGGTTTAAACTTTATATGGGGCCTCAAACAGGAGGCTTTAAAATAAAACAAGATTATGAGATTTCCACATGAGAACGGTCACAGTGGTCACCAGAACATGTAAAATATAAGAGCAGAAAATGAAATAAAATAAAATATACGGGGATAGTATAACATAACAAATGTAACATGTCCATTGAATGTCCAGAAAATGTGTTAAATCTGTAATTTCTTAATTAATTATTCTGGAATTACTTTATATTTGTCAGTTTCTCTGTAATTCTTCTGAAATTCCTCTCTAATTCCTCTGTGATTCCTCAATATGACTCGTCTCTATGAATATTTACGAGCATTGATACATATTAGAGCAGGAACTGTAAGAATGAGTGTTCATAGTGCGAGGTGCCACTTGAAGTGTTATTTATTAGCAGCTTGGGAGACATTAGCATGAGCTGGGACAATACATCTTCGAAACATTGCTCAATGTAATTCTCAATTCATCTAACAAGAGTTAAAAAAGTGGAAAGATGAGCATATTGTGATCATTGTATTCTTTCTTTTTCCCCCGCATTTGTTTGGTATTATTCTGTCTCCATATCCTAACTCCATCCCTTAAGGATGAGCTGGATATTGTATCTCTGCAATTGTCCCATGAAATGTTCTCTTCGAGGCATGTAAAATATCAAAAATTGTTAAATGATCAGCATCTTGCAAAGTGGTACCATATTGTTATCTCCAACCTTTTTATGTACGATGTGTTCGATGGTTGGTGTTTGGCAGTGCAGTTGTCATTCGGCATCTGTAACAAATAGTAGGGGGTGACATTTTGCATTAAGTCTTTCTCTCATAGAGAAGGGGTGTGGGGTGATACAAATGGCAAATAATTAATGTCTACGTTGCTCCATATTCTGGGATAGAATGTCATTTTCTCTAATCTTAGAGATTTGTGTGAGGAAGATCGCTAAGTTATTCTGTAAAAAGACAAATATGTTTGATACGTACATTTAAAATTATGCAACAAGCTCAGTATACACACGAGGATTTCAGAGAAATAACACACTAATTGATTGAAATATATAGCATGTAACATCTCTCCGCACCATACATTTATTCCGATATTGAACTGAAGTTATATCTGAGAAAATGCCACCAGGGAATGTATCAATACACTGCACAGATTAGGTTGTGGTAACTTATGTTTTACCACAAAGCTCCTTTAAGTTGGCATTTTCGAAACATTGTAACTTATGTATAACCACTAAAGCCCCTTTAAGATGGCATTTTGAAGCAATTTGAAGCTTTCAAGTCTTTCAAGTTCCACTAAGCTCTTCAAAGTGGAGATTTGCTCTTCAAAGTGAAGGACATCTCTATTTGATGTCCTATCATAAAAAGATACTGTGATTGGTATTGAGTTATTTTCGTGATTTGTATTCATAAAACCGCTGATCTGAATAATCCATCTTTAATTTGACAGGTCCTTTAGTTTCTATAAACTTATTGGAATAGAAATAAGCATTGAAATAGTAGACCTGTACTAGGGGCTCATTTAAAATATTCAGTTGGTCTTTGGACTCTGAAAAGTGCTTCACTATCAGAGGTGTTCCACTTCTAGAGGTGTTCCACTTTACAGGTTTCACTGTACCAAGATTTGGGTGATAAAGTAAATAGCCTATAGATTCTACAAAATTCAAGCTTTAGTTCTACCTTTATGTGGTATTGCATTTAATAAATGATAACGTGTATTGTGCACCCGTCTTTGATCCCAACCCCATAACACACCTACCTTCTACACAAAGATTGGAAAGTAGATAGTGAGAAGGGACAGATACGAGATAAAGCTTATGTAATAGGTTGATTGATTGTTTGTTTGTTTGTTTGTTTGTTAGCTTTTTGCTCATGCTTATATATTGATTGTTTGTTTGTTGTAGAGGAGACTTGGAGGTACAGAAGTCAGCATGGTACGTGCGAATGCAGACAGATGCAGAGTTGACAGAAACTGCTCTACTGTAAGTAAAAAGGATTTGATTTAAAGTACATCGTTTATTTATTATTATGGGCACAGGCAACGGCATATAATCAACTGTACAATAACCATTTTGTTACGCGTTATGTTTAAAATCAGGAAGATTTCAAAAAGATGCCATTAGTTGACAGAAACTTCTCCACTATCAGTAAAAGGTATTCAATGTTATAATGGGTGGTGTAGGCACAGAATCAACTGTTCGATCAGCATTATGCATTATGTTTGAAATTAGGAAGAATTCAGAGAGATTGCTGTAAGTTGACAAACGCTGAAGTCATTGACAATAATGTCATGATTTAAGGCTACATTTTTCGTATAAATCTTGCTTTATCATCGGATATAAATCTGCATCTTTCCTGGCCTGAGAGGATAAAACATTGATGATGAATTGATGTTCCTCTGCCTGGGAGTGAAGTGTCTTGGCACATTAGCCTGTGTCATGTGTCTTGTTTCTCATTCGTGTCATGCACATTTTATGCATTTCTCAGTAATATTTGAATTATTCAAGTTTCTGACATATATTCACAATTTAGAGTGTTGAGTATTTGAGTAAATTTTATTCCTTGCTGATTTCATTCTTTTTTCAATTTAAAACATGACCTCTGTGAGGTTTATTTTGGTGACATTGAGAATTCAAAAACTGGAGAATAAAGGTGTAAATCAAGACAAATGATATTCTGAATATGATATAGGAATTCTTTGCTTGCATTTTATCATGCTTTGTTCATTCCTTGTGAATTCCCCAAATTTTCACTCTATTTTCCAATCTATTTACAACTCCAATGACATTTTGTCAATGGGGGAATTTCTAAGCGTTGAAGCGTTACACAATTTTCGAATTTATATTCTTTATCCTTAGTCAGCTTGACCCAAGGGTGTCATCATTTAAAACATATCCTTATATCGTATCATACCATATATGAAATTGTAAGGAGAATTCTAGAAAATAAAATAAGTTTCAAAGGATTGAGTGAACAAACATATACGGAGGACACTGACTGATTTGACATTCTACAAAGTTATAAGAATTTTAAGCATTTTTTGAAAAGTTTAGGAAAATGAAAGTTATTGATTTATTCAGCCGTCTGCAATATTTTGTATTGGGTGACTCATGGGGCTCATTACTTTTTGCTGGATAATTTGTTGACATATCAAACAGTTTTGAACGGAGAAGATAGCATTCCATCGGGAGCTGGGGACAAATAGATATCATTTCACGATCGGCACTGAGAATCCTCATATTTTCCCAAAACTTTGCTTATTCATATTATCAGGAATCGTCTAATGTTTTGACATTTTCATATCATTTAACACTGAAAGTAACTTGATCAGTTACATGATTTTTCCTTAATATGGCTGTAAGGTTGACTTTTGTTCAGTATATACCAGTTTGAATAAAAATCTGTATATTTACTCTTGTGTTCACTGATATCATCGAATTGAACAGCAATATTAAGTAAAATGGCAAATAGACTTAAAATATGATATAGGCTTTTATATCCAAGGCTCCGGGTAAAAATATTTATATTACAATAATGCAGAAGGAAATTTGTATGGAAAGAATCAATTTAAAAAAAATTGAACAATGCTTGGGGAGCTTAGTCTATGGAGAGTGAAAGCTGGTTTGAGTGAGGGGCCATCTTAAGTAGGCTATTGATGTATCATTTTTAGAGTAAATAAATATTGTACACAATTACATGATATATTGTATAAAATGTATTGAATAGATTTGACTTAAGGATGACCACACAGACAGACTGAGAGTTTTCATTCCCTAAATACTAGCAACTCACTACTTAATTCAGATTTCTTTCTTAAAGAATACATTAAGATTGTGAACTGTCCCCTTTAAGAAATCAAGGTCGAATAAGAAATGTATCAGCCCCAATCCCCATAGTCTACCATGAGGACAGCTTGTTTTCACAGCTCATTGATCCATGATTGATCCAGGTATTATGGCAGAGGCGCCGCTACCACTTGACCCAACACCTTGCTATAATTAAAATAACATGGTGATCGTGTTTAGAAATGTAAAATAGAGTGAAATACAGAGGAATTGTCAAGAAATAAAGTTGACAAACATGTAGTGAATACTTTAAATTGTACAGAAATGTAAGAAAATAATGGACTTCATTGGAATTTTTTGAGAAAATTGTGAAATGATCATGATGTGAGTTGTGATTGATTTGTAGGACCCCTTATACCAAAGGATCTGTTGTCAGTCAATAGCAAGCGACTGGATGATTTATATTAAGACCCCTTAAATCTCTATTAACCACAAACACCTGATATCGATAATGAAGAATCAAAATGTTTCATTCTGTTGGTATCTTTCTGGGATTGTTGAAAGTTGTTTGATATATTGTTATAAGGTAGACGTTGAAGAACAAATACTCTGGCTATTTTATTCCTTCCACTGACACAGCCAGGTCCAAAAGTCCTTTCCTTGGTCTATGTTAAACCAGAATGCACATGGGACAATATTTAAAGAACAAAAAGTAAATACCCGAGAAACATATCAACTGAAAAAAACGAAAAATCATTGATGAAACAAACTAGTCTTGTAAAAGCCTAGCTTGATAATGCTAGCATAGACAAAATGCAGGTTAAAGAACAATAATATGACACCCATGCAATAATTATATGAATTTGAAGTCTATTGTGAACAGTGAGCTGTTTTCATTTTTTCTCCAAGATTAAAGCTTGAGTGATTTTGTTTACAAAAAGCTCTCTAAAATATGTTGGGGTAATACAAATTCACAGTCTCCCTAAAAATATTGATCACACCTAGTATGTGTAGAATTTGCTTTTAATATTTTTCCATTTACTGAGAATTTTTATTGAAATTTCACAGCATGCTCGGACTATTTTTCACAAATGTGAACAAGTTTAGTCAATTTGATTTCGAAAAATTGTAACAGAAACAAAGATATACTTAAAATTTTAATACAATGATAATTCACAATTTTTGGAATCACAGAAAAGACAGCTGGGTAATACAGCAACCAAGAAATATAATTCCATCTAGGTTGAAGTGTATTTTGGGCCTTATGGATGAAAAAGACAAAATTTGAAGAAAATAAGTCAACAGTGTTTCAGAGATATTATAAAATCACCAATAAATCTCAGTGGTTTAGGAATTCAATTTGATTTCACAGAGAAAAGGGGTGAATTAAGCATGAACAAAGTGAGGAATTTGGTTAGGCTATTATGCCCACCTTCAGGCATTCACTAAATTAACATTGAAAATATGTGAAGTGTGACTCTATTAAAGGAAACCACACTTTAATTTCAATTTGTCTTCTGGTTTGAGGAATGAATACAATAATTAGACCTGTTTTATTGACCATTAAAAGTTATTGTCAATTCTATAGCAATAATTCCAAAATAACATCTTCACTGGTAGTGACAAAATTACATTATGGCGTATACTGATAGACTGAAATGAAAGCCTGAGAAAATAAAGGTTGCGTTTTCAACTTTGTTTTGTGATTGAGAGCCTTCTTAAGAAAAAGATAAACTTCTTGAACATGCAAAATTTCAGCAGTATCAAAATGTAACTTCAAAACAGACAAAAATTATTTATTGATGATGTAAAAATGAAATATAAATATTCCTGCAGCATAAAGAGAAAAAAATTTTCCATCTTTTCTTCGCAAGTGTATTGAGGTAAAAAAGTATCATTGTATATACAGAGAGGTTTTTCTTTATGGTATCAAGCTGAGATGTCTTAAGAAAATCTAAAGATCATTCAAGTGAACGGCCACATGTTGCATTAGACAAAGTGTCGCCAGTCCCTCTTGTAACCTTATGTTGGGGGCATATCTAGTATCCACCAAATTAAAATGACGGAAATTGCCCCTGTAGAAATGACTTTATGTCTATTGTCACCTGGTTTCTCTTTACAAATAAATTAGATGTACGAGTGTCTTTGGATTATTAGGAAATAAAATTGATATGCATTAGAATATATATCTTTTGAGTTTTATTCATAATTATGCTTTATCTTGTTCATTTTTAATTCTATCAACTTTAATCTGGTTAAGATGTGATTGTGCTTTCATATTCTTGTCATTGATTATATCCTTTATCATTCAAAACAGAAAAATGAGGGAATTAGCATACCTTTATGAGTCTGTCCACAGCCTAACACCATCAAACAAAACAAAGATTAATTTAAAAAAGATTGACAACTGCATACCTTGTCATTTGAATAATGTATGACATAGGAGGAATAGTTTAAAAACATGTCAATCCTTTGAACAATTATTAAACAGAAAGCATATTTGCAAAGAGGAAGAACTTGATGAAATTGTAACAATGAAGGTGTTTACATGTTCATAATAGACAGGTGTGAACAAGTGGTTTGATTCAAGACAGGCGCCAATTTATTAAGATGAGTTTATGTCTGGAATAAACCAGTTAATTTCAATTAGGATTTTAATAATCAAAAATTATTATTGAATAAATTAAGATGTATTGTATCCAGTCTATATATTCTCTACAATCCCCCCCCCATATAACAGACAAACTTTATACATGGTTGGTAGTAGAGGGGATCAAATGAGATGAAAAACAATTTGAAATAATAATTGAAATAAATGAATTTATAAATATATTAATTAAATAATACTAGATATAATGATAATAATAAAGAAATAAAATAAAGAAATAAATGAATAAAATGATAGTGTTAACAAACTCCTCCAAAGTTGCAAAGAAGCAATTTTATAGCAAGGGGGTTCAACCTTTGATAAGCGGATCCATTTCACACCTAAAAGTAGCTTCATTTACAGAAACAAACCCCTTAATTCTTAGTCCTGACGCATGGTTCCTTTATCATGTATGGGAGTCAAAAGAATATACAGAAATTGGGAACAAAAGATGCACGTTCACTTGAGAGGTGTTCAGATATTTTAGTTTAGTGTATAATTAGCAAGTGTGAACTGAATAATAATCATTGTGCATTTAGACCATTCGGATTTCAATCTATAACAATAGTGCTAGTTAGCCTGTCCCGGCTGGGTCTATAGGGAGACAATTCAATTTAACCCATATTCCCTGAATTCTCAACCGATCAATTGTGAATTAACATCTCAATGTATTTTATGGTTTTGTTCGTTTTGATTATTATTTTGATATCTGAGATCAACTAGGCTCTCAAAAAGTGTTCAAAAACGATTCAATATTATCATTTATTCACTATGCCGCTAATGTTATTAAGTTAACAAAGGCATACTTTTGTATTTATATCAATATCAAGGAAATTTAAATAAATAAATTGAAAAAAAATTATTTATTCAGTTAGAATCTGAAAGTGTTCAATTAGAACCACACAAAATACAAACTCCTATAATTCATCAAAATCAATAATCTTAAAGTTAAAATGATCGTTTCTTGCTTATTCTTATTAAAAGACCATGTTTTATCTTTCATTGGTAAAGAACAGAAAAAGAAATGAAAAATGCATATTATACAGTACAACCTGTATATTGGAACACCTCTTTAATCTGAACATCTCTGAATGTGAACACTTTTCCTTGATCCAAATTTTGGTCTCCCATTAATTCACACACTGAGCAACCTAGAAATGTGAACACCTGCATATCTGAACACTTAAGTTGGCCCCAATGGCATTCAGATTAGACAGGTTTGACTGTATATTAAAATGACTTCAACCTCGACCAACTCTACCAAAATAGCAAGATAGAGCAGTTAGAGATGAGCTAGGAAATGACAGAGGACAATAACTCATATGGCAGTTAATAGTCCCTTCACGACCCAACTCCATGACTCAGTCTGCTTTATTACTGCACCCCTTGCTTTATTAGGAGCAATAACTTGGAGATGATTATACTGGCCATGCTCTATTTCAATACATTAACTCTACTTTAGGTAACATTTCTATGTCTGTTTTACAGTAAATTTAAGAGGAAAAGGAACCACTGGGTGTAGCAGTGGAGTGGGGCATTAAAAAATTATGAGCCCATTTTCTGATGCCTCTCTATACCACTCCTGCAATCTGTGCCTCCCCTCTCCTCGGATCTATTTCAGAAATTTGTAAAATATTGGCAATAACGGGGAATGGAGCTGTAACAAACGGTACAAGAATCTATCTAGCAAGTTAATATTTGTTGGGGGGGGGGGGGTTGATGGTCTTTTACAGGTGATGACACCCCAGTTTTGACATCAAAGTTTTGACACGGGTTAAGATTCACATGTTGAGCAAATTCCATCAAAGTGTCTATGGAAAACATCTGTTTGTTTAGCTGACTCTGATATCCTGAATCACTGTATGATAAAGTGCAAACAGATAAAAACAGAAGCGTGTCAGAAAAATGGAGAGACTATCCTCTTGAATTGATCGTTTCACACGTTTAGATAGAATTATTGCTTGTCATCTTAGGACTATAATCTTTTCAGCAAATATTAGAAATAATTATCCGATGGGTTCTGTTGATAGATTCTATTGGAATTTCTTTCAAGTTGGCATGCCTGTCTGGACCATTAGCGTGTAATTGAATTTTTACTGTTATATATTCCTCCGTGAATTGAGAACTGAGCAAGGAATATCTGGAAAATATATTGAAAATCATGAATCACACAGAGACCCATATTTGACCTATAGAAACTTATTTGGTATCATGCTCACATTTGAAAATCACTTGAAGTAAGGTTTGAGCGTGGGTTACAGCATAGAAAATGAGTTTGCCTGATTGATTTTAATAGAAAAATGAATGGTAGAGAAAAGCTGTGACATTCTTGTATAATAAGGCTTTCGTCTCTTGAGGAATCAACAAATCAAAAGCAAATATTTTTTCTATTTAAATTGCAAATATTAATTTAAAAGTTAATAGAGGTTTCAAAATGTCAATGCCAGCGTAAATTAGATATTGAATCTTTTGTTTGCATTGTTAAATTATAACTATGGTGTACTGGTCTAGCAATAGGTGGCAGCATATACTTGGCATGTGACTTATTTTTAGCTGGCAACCAAGATATTCCACAAAAAGAACAGAACATCACTTCATTGTTCTAGAACATCACTTCATTGTTCTAGAACATCACTTCATTGTTCTAGAACATCACTTCATTGTTCTAGAACATCATACCATTGTTCTAGAACATCATTTCATTGTTTTAGAACATCACTTCATTGTTCTAGAACATCACTACATTGTTCTAGAACATCATTTCATTGTTTTAGAACATCACTTCATTGTTCTAGAACATCACTACATTGTTCTAGAACATTATACCAATGTTCTACAACATCACTTCATTGTTTTAGAACATCACTTCATTCTTTTTTCATTTTGTATTATGCCACAACTACAAAGTGATAACATATTATATAACAGCCTTCGTTTCTATGACTGGCATTCTGTGTTGTCCAGCTCTGGTTACTGCATGGCATCTGTAACAGATTGTCACACTTTTGTAACCTTTAGCGGGTGATGACATTTTGTCATGTTAATGCCCTGTCTACATATTGCACCAAAAAGTATGAATATTTTTTCTCTCCACCCATTTATTTATGTGTTTGATAGCAGACCTGTCACTACTCCCACGTGGGAGTAGGTATTAGGTGCTCAGGGCTTACATATTTTTAATAAATTTATTTTTCATTTTCTACTTCCAGTGTAGCAGACCATGTTCTACTTTGGTTCATAATATTGCTGCATGTACAGCTGCTTGTCAAGTAAGTTGTTTGCTTTTCTGTATAATTGATTGATTGTTTCTTTGATTTTTTGTTTGTTTATTTGTTTATTATCTGCCATTTTCTCTTGAAGCTGAACACTGAATTAGACTTCTTGGAAGAAATATACATTTGATTTTCTTACAATTGTCATTTGAATTCCTGTTTTTATTACCACAAACCAGAGTAAATGGTTTGATCATAACTAGATTGGGAAAACACAAAGGGCAACATTTGGAAATTGAGAAAAAGCCCTGTTAATTATATGAATACTAATTTTATATTTGAAAAACAACATAAAACTCACTTAAATAGTTTTATATCTATTTTCATATTTTTACAGAATGAAACTGCTTGTCTGTTAAGTTGCCATTTTATACGTCATATCCATACAACTAAACATGGTCAGTGCCCATCAAGGACAACGCTGGATGAGAGTCAGGCCCAGTGTACCGTGACGTGTGATAAAGACACAGATTGTGGTGGGGTAGAGAAGTGTTGCGATAATGGATGTGGGTACACGTGTCAGAGTGCCACCAATGCAGATGTGGGTAAGTGGCGAGACTGGGCTGATACTGAATATGATCTCTGGGTGGTTCAAAATCAACTAGGGGATGGGTAAAATGTATCTTTTGTAACATGGATTTTGCTAGTGGAGGGGTATGTACTGTACTGCTAAAGTAACAAAGCAAGGTATTGATGCATGGATTGAAAAGGATTCACATTGTTAATTATCAGCTTTCATAGTGTTATTGAACCCCCATTTGATCAATCTAATATTAAGATATTAAGCCTATGGCGTATATTGGAAAAAAAAGTTGAATTCAAACCCATTCTAACAATTGAATTAATAATCAAATTTTATCTTTAGGCTTACCAGAGACAACCACTGCCCCTGAAGTGAGAGAGCGTCCCAAGGGAAAGTCAGTTGAGCTAACCTGGGAGATCCCATCATACAAGACCCCCATTGTGTACATCATCCAAGGCAGAACCAGTGTGGGGATGAGTGGCAACTATGGACCCTGGCAAATGGTCATGGAGGTACAGTGTATTTTAGACTTATTAATTATACAAGACCCCCATTGTGTACATCATCCAAGGCAGAACCAGTGTGGGGATCAGTGGCAACTATGGACCCTGGCAAATGGTCGTAGAGGTACAGTATATTTTAGACTAATTAATTATGTCACTACCAAAAGTGATGTATTGATATAGTCTTCAAACAGTCTTCAAATGTGGATTGTGTTCGGCAGTTGATCTTTAACAGTGATCTGTAACAGTGTTTGTAACAAACGGAGGCTGGGTGCCTGTAACAAATGGCACATGTTGACATTTTGTTTGTTAATGGCTTGTCTCAGTGATACTATATATTCCAAAAGTCCAAATCTGCAAAATGAGGGTTCTTATCCACAAAAAGTATATTTCTTCACAAATTGGAATTAAGAACCTTTTAATCGCATAGTGTTATATTTCTATTAAAATAATTGTACAGGGTAAGTGATACTGAGTGATTAGATTGAAACATTTACTAAAATGATTTTTGATCAGTATATAATCTATAAGTGAGCGATATAGCATCTCAGTGTTTTTCATCAAACCAATTGAGCCTCTTTGTGTTAACATTGCACACAGGCATATACATACATGTTTATAATAGTTGTTCTCCTCTTTGTTCCAGTCTACCAGACCTGGGGCTATATGGAAGGGGGTGAAGGCCGGACACTGGTACCAGTTCAGGATCGTTTCCGTCAACATAAACGGATCCAGTGAGCATTCTGAACACAGTGTGGACTTCAAGTTAACTAAAGGTATGTCAGAACCATTCTGATACTCATCGCATCTCTGTTTCATCCCAGGCACAGGTGATATCATATTTACAAGTTTTATGATCCCAATTAGATGAAATATTTAGAGGTTATGTCACTATGACGTGAAATATGCCTGAGTTCTCCCAATATAGGCCGACCTTGGGAGGCTCTATATTTGGGCAAGAACGAAGGCATATTTCACGTCATAGTGACATAACTGATGTATTACATGCCTTTGTTCCCATGGTTACTTTGTATCAATGACGTGACGTCATGATATTATCATGGTTATTAAAGAAATCTAATATCAAAACGAGGTAAGCGGGCTATATCGGGGTAATCGGGCAATATCGGTGGATATAGCTCGCTAACTTTCCCATTGACTTCCATACAAATGCTTCGCTAGGTATGTAATACAAGCTGAGATGAAAGATATCAAAAATCCTCAAATCTGGGCTCTAAATTCAACCTATTATATCATGGCATCTCACAGCTGAGAAGAAATGAAATATCATGGTTTATCATGATGTGTCAGAAAACATACAAAAAAGGTATATCTTCTTCAAGGTATTCACTCTGAGTAGTAATTGTTTTATTTCATTGTAAAGGACAAGGTGCAATTATTGGCAAATATCCCTATGGTCAAAATGAATCATTCGTAGGTGTAACATGAAGAATAAAATGTCATATAATACTTTGGAAAATATTAAAGTGCTCAGACACACATAAGCTGAGATAGGGATCATTTCGTTCAGTAAGGTTGTATTGACTTACATGGGGCTGTGCACCATTGACTTAGTATGAGGATATCAGCAGATCCCAATAGAGGCCATTGGTTTCAATTGATTATCACAGAAATACCAAAAATACACTATGACCTGAATCGATTGCAAACTTAATAATTTCACAATACGACACAAATGGTTTATCTCATCAAATGTGCAAATATGAAGTTTGCAATCGATTCAGGTCATACTTAAAATTAAAAGATTGTACATTTTTTCATCATTTTTTTCCCTACAAAATGGCTATAGAAAAATGCTCCAAAAACAACTTTTACACTTATCAAATATCATACAAGTTTGTAAAACCAAAGATTATACTATTATATTTCATTATGTAGTAACATATTTGGATAAGATGCAGGGATGCGTAGGATGTAAATGGATTTTGACAGACACAAAAATACTTCCTGGTTTGGAATCTATGCCTCTACACTTCATGATTGAATTATGACCCTAATAAGTGGCCTATACATCAATACAGTGATGAATATAGGTCAACAAGATACTAGTGTGCATATAAATGTAATAATTGAAGCAGAATACTCATTTTGAAAAATCAGATGAATTATTTTTTTCCCATGGGGAGATCCCAATGGCGGGTGTATAAGGTCCTTTTCTCTGGTGATTGATATTTTGTGGCTTGCTCTTTTAACTTCAATACACATTGATGGGCTGTGTTGCTTATTAGATTGGCTTTATGGGTTACGATTACCTGTTGGATGTTTTTTCAGTGCTCAGAATGTTTCTCTTTGTGTTTGAAATGTGATAGGAAAAAGATTGACACAACAATACATCATGATGAGATATTGTTAATATGGTGTCTGATCTGAATAGATACAGTAGAACTAAATGTGATCTCTTTAATGTTTCTGAATGAGCTACAACCCTAAGCTCTAAATCGGCTTTAATTTCTCAATTTATAAGTTGGTAAAATTGCAAATACAGGAAATGAAGATAGAGACATAAATAGTGTCTATCTGCCCAATAAGGAGTGAATTTTATAGCCTTTTGATTTAAATGCCATTGATTGTCAGGGTATAATTGAACAATGATATGCAGAGGCACACTGCGAAGATCTTATATGGACCAGTGAGTCACTAATGCGGGCATAAATTCCCTTGAAACATATCCAAATATTTTCGTGCATTTTCTCACTTTTGAACCCAAAAAGAGGAATCAGTGAGGAATATTATGAAAAGGCATTCAGTGCTTGGTTAGGACATCCAAGAATCTTAAAGTTCAGCTGAAATCTTTAAGGGGAGAGATAGAAATATATGAAGAACCTGGAATTATTGAAGGAAAAGATATTGAAACCCAGAAATTAATGGCCCCTTGATGACAATCCTATCTAGTTATTTAGGGGACACAATTGAATATTTAACATTGAATTATATGCCACAATAAAACTTATTAATCTTCCTCAAAATGATTCGGTTAATTTCAAAGGACATTCAGATGCACCTAAGCAAACATCGCACACGTTTTATGTCTTTTTCTGGCCATGTTTCTTTCACTTAATTATTCCTTTAAATGTCTATGAATTAGATTATTTTATGTTATTTCTTCACAATTTAGAATGTTTACTACAATGCTTGTTCACTTTATTCCTCTTTGATTCTACTCTTTTCCACTCTATTTTGGATTTCAAATCAAGATCAGGAAAATGATTTCCTCACGGGAATTTCTTTAAATGGAATTTAAGAATTATTTATTGTGTTTCAGAGCCGAGAAGTCCATCTGAACCAACTGACTTTAGGGAAGGGGGGTTCACTCTGCATGATGGTATGGTGAATGTTCGTCTTCTTTGGGAGGAACCTCGCAAATCTGACCTCCCTATCTCTAAATACAAGGTAAGTTATAGAAGCCATAATCTTCCATGGTTGGCTCCAGTGATCCTACATTTGTGATCGCCTCAGAAACAATATAATAAGGACCAGGGGATAGCCTGGAGTGGTCTGGGAGAGGGGGCAGAAACTAGGTAATAAGGGCCAGGGGATAGCCTGGAGTGGTCTGGGAGAGGGGGCAGAAACTAAATAATAAGGGCCAGGGGATAGCCTGGAGTGGGCTGGGAGAGGGGGCAGAAACTAAATAATAAGGGCCAGGGGATAGCCTGGAGTGGGCTGGGAGAGGGGGCAGAAACTAGATAATAAGGGCCAGGGGATAGCCTGGAGTGGGCTGGGAGAGGGGGCAGAAACTAGATAATAAGGGCCAGGGGATAGCCTGGAGTGGGCTGGGAGAGGGGGCAGAAACTAAATAATAAGGGCCAGGGGATAGCCTGGAGTGGGCTGGGAGAGGGGGCAGAAACTAGATAATAAGGGCCAGGGGATAGCCTGGAGTGGGCTGGGAGAGGGGGCAGAAACTAGATAATAAGGGCCAGGGGATAGCCTGGAGTGGGCTGGGAGAGGGGGCAGAAACTAGATAATAAGGGCCAGGGGATAGCCTGGAGTGGGCTGGGAGAGGGGGCAGAAACTAGATAATAAGGGCCATGGGATAGCCTGGATTGGTCTGGGAGAGGGGGCAGAAACTAAATAATAAGGGCCAGGGGATAGCCTGGAGTGGGCTGGGAGAGGGGGCAGAAACTAGATAATAAGGGCCAGGGGATAGCCTGGAGTGGGCTGGGAGAGGGGGCAGAAACTAGATAATAAGGGCCATGGGATAGCCTGGATTGGTCTGGGAGAGGGGGCAGAAACTAAATAATAAGGGCCAGGGGATAGCCTGGAGTGGGCTGGGAGAGGGGGCAGAAACTAGATAATAAGGGCCAGGGGATAGCCTGGAGTGGGCTGGGAGAGGGGGCAGAAACTAGATAATAAGGGCCATGGGATAGCCTGGATTGGTCTGGGAGAGGGGGCAGAAACTAGATAATAAGGGCCAGGGGATAGCCTGGAGTGGGTTGGGAGAGGGGGCAAAAACTAGATAATAAGGGCCAGGGGATAGCCTGGAGTGGGCTGGGAGAGGGGGCAGAAACTAGATAATAAGGGCCAGGGGATAGCCTGGAGTGGTCTGGGAGAGGGGGCAGAAACTAGATAATAAGGGCCAGGGGATAGCCTGGATTGGGCTGGGAGAGGGGGCAGAAACTAGATAATAAGGGCCATGGGATAGCCTGGAGTGGTCTGGGAGAGGGGGCAGAAACTAGATAATAAGGGCCAGGGGATAGCCTGGATTGGGCTGGGAGAGGGGGCAGAAACTAGATAATAAGGGCCAGGGGATAGCCTGGAGTGGGCTGGGAGAGGGGGCAGAAACTAGATAATAAGGGCCAGGGGATAGCCTGGAGTGGGCTGGGAGAGGGGGCAGAAACTAGATAATAAGGGCCAGGGGATAGCCTGGATTGGGCTGGGAGAGGGGGCAGAAACTAGATAATAAGGGCCAGGGGATAGCCTGGAGTGGGCTGGGAGAGGGAGCAGAAACTAGATAATAAGGGCCAGGGGATAGCCTGGAGTGGTCTGGGAGAGGGGAGGCAGAAACTGTGTGACAGATATTGATACTGAAAAAAGTAAAAGGTGTTTCATATAAGTTTTTGAGTTTGATGTCAATTAGTTGCAGTAGTCCTTGATGACAAACACTTTTTATGGGATCCTTAAAATATATTAATGCTTATATAATAAAATCTATCAAGTTGAAAACCTCTATGAGTCTATCACTTTTGTACAATGAACACGTTTCACAGTCCTGTGACCATTGACTTAATGTAATTTAAACCTCTATATGTGGAACATCTAAGTGGAACACAGAGCAAGAGTGATCAATGTAATTCTGGACCTCGTCCTGTACTGAAAGAGCTACCCAGAATAAATACAGTTTTCAAATCAAATCAACTTACCAGATCTACTGTATCTGCACATGAAAACTAACTTTAATTGTTGTATATAATAGTATATAGTATTTATATCATTGTTGTATATAATATTTGTAGATATTCTGGACCAAGCAGACCAACAAAGTACCTCTTGTAGGAGAACCAACTGGTGAACACAAGAGACTCATAGCAGCAGTAAGATATCATTTATTATTCCATTTAAGCGAGGAATTTCTTTCTGTTCATTTGATGATGCTTTTAGCATGACCCTTTAATTATGAGTTGATATAATCAGGCCCATAGCTCCCTCCCCCTCTCTTGTAAAAAATCAAGCAGTCTTTTCCATTCTGAGCACTTTTCAAGTGATTTTGGCCATATTTGGGACTAAGTTGTCAAAGTACCCCTCTTTGAATCTTTTTAAAAAGCCGGCTACAGGCCTGGTAATTTTGAATATCATATTATATTAATTTGCATCAATTCTCTAGTACAGCATTCTGAGCATTCAATTAGCTTTCTATCAGTACCTTAGTATAATTAATGCTATGTAGAGTCATACAGTATGAATTCTTTGCAATGCAGAGATAGCCTCAGTATCATAATGGTATTGACAGCCAACCCATTATATATTGGCTTACCCAGGCTGTGGGTATTGTATATTTATTAAGTAAATCCTGCCTGATGTTAAACTTTTGTGACCCCTGTTTACAAGGAACATTTTCAGCCAGTGTAGAGGGTGTTTTCTGTACACAGGTTTTACTGTACATTATCTAATGAGACGGGGTCTGATACAAGACTGGAATGTAACTTTTAATAAAATAAAAATAAATGTGTTTTTTTATTTTATTTCATCAGGATAAAAGGGAGTTTGAGTTGAAGAACTTGGAACCAGACACTAGGTATATGATACAGGTATGTCATATATATAAGCTGTAGTATTATAGATGTCACTTATGTCTTATACTCATGTTAACCTAACAAAAATTCTCTGATTGTGAAAAAAGACAAGGAGGATTGGCTCCCAGAATCGAAGTCGATATTTTCCAACAATGAAAACGCCGAAATGTCGTTATTTTCTGAAATTATAACCGATTATAAATTCAAAATAAACAGTTCAAAATATTCGAACCAATATCTCGATCATTTCTTGTGAGTTTTGGAATTTTTCGTTGGGAAATAAGACCAAAATTCACGATTCAAATGTTGAAGTGAACAAAATGGCGGTCGTTGGAATTCAAATTTTGTAGCACGACATGCCCATATATGGGGCAGAATATCGATGTTGCACTCTGGGAGCCAATCCTCCTTGGAAAAAAGATAAACTAAAAGATAAAAAAATTCATAAAAAAACAAAATAAAAAATTTGTATAAAAAAAATCATAAAAAAAATAAAATAAAACATTTGTTCATATAAGTTTCATGTGCAAGCCAAAGTAGTTCATTTGATGAAAACAGTTCTATATGCAAGACATTAATATGATAAAAGTTACAAATTGTTACAGATGCCAATAACTGATGTTGATTGCTGACCACCAATTGCAAATGCTGCTCACAAAAAATTGTGTCTGTTATAATGTTTTACTTCTTGGTGGTAGCATAAAAATTGAGCTTCAGTCTTATAAACATTTCCATGTGCATTTATCCCTGTAGATCCAAGCTCTGGCGCCATACGGAAATAGAAAGTTGAAGAGTGAGAAAGTTTCCTTAGAAATAGAGACTTATCCTTTGTCCCAGTCTACAGAGAGAGATAGAAGTGAGTACAAGAACCCATTCATACTAATATTTTAAATAAAGGGAATTATGAGGGATAGAGAGTGTATAATATTGGAAGCTATCTTTCCTAACATCCTAATTCTTTTTTTCTGGATAATATTGTGAATTGAATCTGATCAGATGTTGACATTATTGAAAATTGAATCTGAATGACAACACTATGTTAACTGGAATAAGCATAATTTAGACACCATTTTATGCCTTGAATAATATTTTATCAATGTTGTCACCAGTTCCTTCAATTCACATACTGTATTGTTCATTATTTTTCCAGCAACACCCTCACCTTCTATAATAACTGAAGTGGACACTGCTCCACCGGTGACTTTCCCGATTCCTGGTACCGTCCAAAACATAACATTTGAGAAACCATTTTACCAAAATGGTCTGCTCAAGGCGAGGATATCATGGCTCGCCCCAGATAGTTTTGATGATGGAATACTGCGATATGACCTTCAGTGGTCGCCCAATGCCTGTATAGCACTGGAGGATAGAGTGAGAACAATGTCAGATCACACTGAGGTATGTCAGTTTTTTGGAAATAAGAAATACGTATTACATGTAGATGTTCTCCCATGATTTTGAATTTTGGTTACTTTTTTGCAAAAGCGTGCAGACTAATACTGTATTTAATGATAGCTCATTATTAACTATAAAAAATTATTAAAAATGTGGAACTTGCAAATCTTCAGTAAATCATTTATAATTTTATTTATTATAATTTTAGAATGAATATTTTGAGCTGTATGACCTAAAATTTGACTGCCAGTACCAGGTCAAGGTCATTCCTGTGTCGACCAATCATATTGTTGGTATGGTTGGGCATGCCATCTTTTATACACCTGAATGCCCAGATGTTCATGTGATGGGAGAGATTGTACCTGACTGCCCCACTGATAGTAAGTGTAAAGTCTCATCCTAAACCAGTGTAAAATTACATGTTGCAATAGCTTAACTTCGATATTTTTAAACAAGACAGCCCATGATAAATATCATGCTTCAAAGAACAAAATGGCAGCCTTGTGATTTACCCAGTGTGCCCAAAACATAATCTCTGTAAAAGTTTTTCTTGAATTTTAATATTTTCCCCTAAGAGATATAAATTCAATACTGTTATTTCAGCTCCCAGTGTGCCTCGGGAACCTCAAAACATCAACTATAGATTGATAATCATAAACCAAAACATCAGCGCAGAAATAACATGGTCAAAGCCTCAATCTGATCGACCAATCATAAGCTTCCGTGTCACGTGGGGCGCTGTCTTGCCTATGGATGAGATGAAAGAGTTTCCGCATATGGACATGAACACAGCTCTAACTAAAGTTTTATCAAATGTAAGTAATGGTTATACATGTATAGTAATGGTTATTTTTTGATTGAGACTTATTAATAAAGATTCTGTCTCAACGAACACTTTAAGCTAGGAGTAGGCTACCAAAGGTACTTGTTTCACTTTTTTAAATAAAAAATTTGAAAATAAAATGTTCTTCATGTATATTCCTGCTAAGTGCTAGAGCCTCACAGCACTTGCTGCCCTGTTGCCAAAATTAATTGAACACCATTGCCTATTATTGGGCATTTTTTGTTTGTCCCTCATTTTTGGTTGTACTTTTATAAACTACTGTACTGTTTGTAATAAATTCTGTTCTTAAAAATTGTATAAATGAAGTGTGTTTGTTTATTCCAGAAAGCCAAATTGTTCAGTATAGATTCCCTAAGAGAAGGTACATCATATATAGTACAAGTACAGGCCCTGTCTAAGGTTGGGAGTGGGATGATAGGACAAGTACAGTTTGAAGTTCCCTTCCTATATTCCAGTAGGATCAGGCCACCAGGTATGTACATGTATAGGGTGACCCAAAAATGTGGGGCCAGAGATATATCTCTCTGGTCCCACTTTTTGGGTCACCCTGTAGATTTGGTTTTTATAGCTCAGAAGGGTAGACCTGCAAATCCCTGGGATTTGAACTCAAATGAAGATTTTGTTTCTGTTTCAGTGTATGTCAGTCATATTTAAGTGCTTCTTTATTTGTTCAGAAAAATAGGCAAACAGCAAAATGTTTGTCCAGGCGATCATAAATATGGGTGAACAATCGAAAACATGTTCTGGTGTATTAACTTAGATTTCTCTTGATTGGTGTCTGTAACAAATGGCATGTAGTGTCATTTTGCATGTAAATGCCTTGTTTAATATTTGTTTATTTATATATTTCAGATCACGATATACAGCACCAAGAGCCTAGCAACACAAAACATCTCCATAGTAACAAAGCAGACACTGCTGTAGACGTAGACGCCCAAGTGGAGCAGGACAATAAAGACTCTAGAACACAAAGCACGGACACTTTAAAAGCCAGTGCCACTTGTCCCTCCATAACTACTGCAGTGTTAATAATATCAGTGACTCTGGTGCCTTGGATAGCTTGGCCATTACCCTGAGATCCCCCCAGATAGCCACATTAAACTCTTACTATGAGCCAATGAGATTTAATGATCTCAATTATCAGATTATAGCTTGGTCATTACCCTGAGATCCCCCCAGATATCCACACTAAACTCTTACTATGAGCTAATGAGATTCAATGATCTCAATTAGCCTACAGCTTGGTTATTACCCTGAGATCCCCCAGATTTCCACTCTCAACTCTGACTATGACAGATAAAGGTGATTGTTACAATATTCATGTTAATAAGAACTAAATAATGATCACCAGTGTAGCTTGGTTAATACCCAGGAGTTCATTTTTGGAACGATCTTAACTCATGATTCCAAGAAAACCATTATTTATTTTCTTCACAAACAATGACTTGCGACCAAACAGAAGTTACGTTGATTTCAAAAATGGACCCCTGAGACTCCAGCTGGCCACACTAAACTCTGATTAAAATGGAGGATCTTGCACTGTGTTGATGTCAAATGTGAACCCCCCTGGAAATTTTTGAAAATTGAACCCCCCCTTGGCAAATCCTGGCTACGGGCCTGATTCACCACAAAAATTCTATTGTAACCATAGTAACAGTGTCATAGAAAGAGTACAACAATCGACTTAAGAAATTCTTGTATATTTAAGAACTGTTCTAGTAATGTGCATGTACCCCTTGAGGTGATTTGGAAAGTAGTGTGGAGTCTACTCCTAATTGTCTCACAATGTAAATGTGTCAATGCCATTAAAGACATTTGAACTTCCTAAAATATAATTCACTGAACTTTTAGAAAAGTGATTAACCTAGACATTAACATGTTGCACGTAGGACATTAAAACAGATCCAAAAGTCGTCTTGCCTACCTTAATAGGAAGTAATAATAAAGTGGAGCCAGTGGATGATATGAGGCATAAAAGTTGGAATCTACACTTATAGATTTAAGAGAGAGAAGAAAATGAGATTAAACAGTGATATTGAAATGGTATTATATGTGTGTATACCACATAATCAAGGTCATGCACCACACCACTACATGTAAATAAGAACATGCACCACACCAAACCATTAAGGATGTGCACATGGAAACCACACCATTTTAGTGTTAAACCACACCGTATGGTGAAATAAACCACACCATATAGGCAACTTGAACCACTCTACTAAGATGATGAACCACACAATATTGATGTGTTCCAAATTAGTTATGAAAAAGTGAATCACCATTTTGCTGATACTATACAACTACTTAGATAACAATAGTAAAGTGATGTATCATGCAATATTGTAAATCATAAAATATTGTATTAATTTTTTAAATTATTTTGTCTTAATTTTTAGCTAATTTGTTTAGTTATTTATATATAAGGGGTATGCTCAGAATATCGGTGTCTGTCAAATGACATAAGATTGGTATATTTTCTGGGCTGTTAAAATAAAAGCAACTTTGGCTCACAGCATGCCTCTTCTTGTGGTTATGTGACTCACAAGTGACAGCTTGCAAATTGGCATAAAGGACCAGAATTTGCTAATAATACTACCATTATTGTCATCTTCCCACAATACTTGATCCCGAGATGAACATTATAGTAATATTATTACCAAATTGTACCCAGCAAGGCAAATGAAGATGGGAAGGAATCGTGGAGCCAATCCTCCTTGTTTTGATATTATAAAGAGGTCAAGTATTAAGGTACACAATATGATTTGATGTGCATTGATATTCTTACCCAAACCCTTTATGTAATCTGTGAACGTAATATGAAATACACTGATTTTGTAAATAATGTATATTGATGTACATAAATGTAAAAATAATGTAAAATATGTAAATATCAATCGTAACTGATAACGATGATTGGAGAGCACAAAAATCTCTTAAAATTTCTGGGAAAATCCTACTGTAAAACAAGAATTAACGTGCAATTAATTTTTCAGAAAAGATTATGAAAAGATTATTGAACTTATCAGAAAGAGAATTTTCAAACAGGCTTTTGTAAAGTCTTATTAAAGGGAATATGTTTTGAGGAGCTTGATAAGGGGTAGTTTGCTAAGATCTTTGGACAAAATTCAGAAAATAAAGACAGTATTACTATACTGGCTGTTTCTAGGATTTTGATATTGTATATCATAGTATTAATACTGTACACAAATAATGGCCAAATTGAATTGGACAAAAAATAGATTTTTTAGTTTTACAGCTATGGGGACAGGTAGTATCTAATACAACCCTCTCACATTACAAGGATATGGGTTATCCTGATATAATATATATGTAGCCTCCTATTACACTTCAAGGATATAGGGTTATCCTGTTGTTATGTAACCTATTACATTTCAAGGATATGGGGTTATCCCAAGTAACACTTTAACATCAAGGATATGTGTTTTTCCCAATATCTTATGTAACTCACCATAATATTTCATGGATATGGGGCTATCCAGATATCTTATGTAGCCTCCTATTGCATTTCAGGATAAGGGGTCACCGTGACATATTTATTATGTAACCAATATTTGCAGTAGTAAGTGGTGTTCAATAGAACAATTGTAATTAGATTATAATTGATTTTTGATGAACATAAATAAATCATTAATAATATAAATTATATTGTGAAGTAATTGAATTGTTCTGTTCTATATATTGTAGTTTTGGGTTGTAAATATTTAATGAAGATATGTTCAGGAATAAAGAAGATTCTATAATTTGCCGTTTAAATTATCAACCAGATTTTATTGTGTTCATTTGGTTGTAAAAAGACTGACATCTCATGCTTGAGGTCTTTAATAATCGCCAGAATAAAATCTTAGATCACATATTTCATCATAAACTTTAGAAAGTGTTCCACTTTGGGGGTGTTCCACAGAGGTTCATTTATTAATAATTTATTCTGGCCCAAATAAAAAGCTGATTAAAAGATGGCTGAACTAGTTTTCATTTAATTATTCAGCTATATAGAAACTATCTTGTTGCTCATGGGACTCTGAAGTGTTCCACTTGAAGGGGTGTTCCACTTTACTGGTTTTACTGTATGTGCAAGATTATTTTTGCATTAATCCTTGAGACCACCATCTACATCTCTATCATTAATGATTCATTAATTGTCACTCTAACACATGATATGAGTGATTTCACAATAGCTAGAAAAATAGATGAAATGCAGGGTGTCAAATAAATATGTTCTCTCCTCTTTAGCTTGAACATCCACACAATGTTGGATAACTTTTTTCTCTATATATCTGAATTGTTCTTTGCACATCAAAACTAAGCTTCACAGAGCAACTGCACAAGAAGTTTCAGATGACTAGCTCAACTGGATGTACTTTTTGTCATTCTCTTGAAATTAAGGGAGTAACATATTTATTTGACACCCAGCCGTGTTATCTGATCCGAATTAACCACCTGGTGGAGAAACCGATAATGACCTACTGGCATCTAGGTTATTGATTTAATGGTTTATATTGGGTAGTATGACTAGACTTTCATTGTAGACCAGTAATAATAACAATAACAACAACAACCTCAATTCTGGTACCATATGTGTTCCACTTACCCAGGTTTAACTGTAAGGTAAGCAACTGTAATACCAATTAATGCAAGACTAACTTTGCTCATAATACACCATATTTATTTACATGATTAGGTTCAATACAATATACATATTAAATACAAAACTAGAGTAAAAATTAAAATACATTTTTAGTTCACATAGGTGAACAACATACAGTATGTTATTACCCACTTGTCTAATCTGTAAACATTTTTATACATCCTGTTCCTATTTTTGATTGATATTCATTGATTTTCTTGTACCACTGTACGTTTGCATCTAAAGTATCTACAGGAAAGCACATAATGAATTACATGTCCGCATTCTTTTACAGTTCAAAGGTAAACCCATTTGGTTCTTCCTCTTCAGTAACAGTACCATTAATGGTACTGTCAATATTGACATTTTTAACCCAAAATTTTTTGAACTTTTGATAAAATTTTGCATTTTTCAGTCCAGTATGCACCTTGAACTTCCTTGCAACAAACGACAACATAATTTCCCTTTCTGTTGGAATACGTCGTACAGTGGTGAATGAATCGTCCAATATTGCAAGCATCAAGTTTAAGATCATTAAATAGACAGATACAAAGAAGACAACTATGAATATGATGCTCATTAAGAGGCTGTAGTCCATTATGTGAGCAGCATCAAACTCAGCAAGCAACATGTGGAGAAATGTTATAATGGTATTCATGCCTGAGCTGAATTCTTCAAATGAAGCCCCATAGTATAGGATCGCAAAATGAGAGTGTGCCATGATGATGATGGCCAACATGATGAAGAAGTTAATAAGGGGCTTCCCTGCGACCATGAGAGTATTTGATAACATGCTCATCCTTGTGTTAAAATTCAACATCTTGAATAGCTTCAACACGTTCAGGATCATCAAGAACGCGAAGATGTAATTGAGAATGTAGTTCCAGAAAACAGCTGGGTAGAAACTGACGAAACCCTCGCCTTTTGAGTCATGGAATTTTGCGATAATGTCATTTACGATGACCAAACGGTTGAAAAACACAGCAATAGCTGAATAGCTCATTAGAATCTCCAACAGTTCAAAATATTTCCAATTATCACTTTGGAAATAAGCCTTCAGTTCACCATGTGCTCTGACAGATTTAACTTCCCTCACAGTGGATATCAATAAGATTATCACAAATATTATTTCACAAGCTTCCATAACTTTCACGAAATCATTGGACTGACTGTACAGCTTTACAGTTAGGATGCTATAGAAGGCGCCTATCTGGCCTGTGGTGAGAAACTCAAACATTAGGGTGCACATAGAGAATAAGTTTGTGTTTGGGTTGAATGTTGTATACTCCACTATGATGACCCTCGTTCTCTCATCCACCCAGCCGTCAGTTTTAGCACCATCTAAGGCATTTTGAGATCCTCTCCTTGATTTTGTCAACTCCAGGATGTATCCTCCTCCAGAGTAAGTTCTGTGTTCTCCAGCCAATGGCAGAGTATTCAGCTTGGATGCCTTCTGATAGGACCATATGTCCTGGCTTGGGGGCACATCTTGAGGGCCCCAGTAACGCCCATAGTTTGAAGAGTCCTCGTTAGTCCAGGTGAATGGAGCAGTGCAGTAGGAGAATTGTTTCCTTAAAAATGAATTCACCTCACAAGTACCTGCAAGTTTAGAATATACAGTACATGTATAGAGTGGACCAAAAGCCATCCACCTTTTTTATTATTCTAATCAGGTTTAGATTTTCATACAAACTAAAGAATCACTTAAAAAATGAGTCCCTGCCTGTAGAGGGTCTAACTGGCTGGATATGAAGTCACAAAACTTGAAAAATGATTTGCTATGAAAAGATTTAAAACATTGAAACGAATCCATACACAGTATGTACAAATATTCAGTTACGTTGAGGAGATTACACTGATGTTACCTTACACTGAGGGAAGAGGGAAAGATTAATGAACATATCTGCAACATTTCTCTACAAAGATTCTGAATGCTAAATGCATTCAACAATGAAGTACTAGATATAGTAATGAATTATATCCTTTGACTGCCTTGGTGGCAAGTTTTGTTCTCAAATGACTGATAATAAAACATGTTAATAAGGCATGACGCTGTGGTGATTTTTATTTCAATTTTACCTTTCTCTATTCTCTGCTGTCTCAAGCGAACCACACCAACTACGACTGTGGCAAGGTCACTGGCAATCCCGAGATGGGTGATGTTCTCTCCATTGTACATGTTCTCAGCATAGAGACTGGGGACCATGGTGTTTCTCAAGTACTCCCATATATCATCAACAGTGGACACCTGGATATAAAAAGTATAATAATATGTATATGTAGCATATACAGTATAGGGCATAACATTACAAAATGTCACCACCACATATACAGTATAGGGCATAACATTACAAAATGTCACAGCCACATATACAATATAGGGCATAACATTACAAAATGTCACCACCACATATACAGTATAGGGCATAACATTACAAAATGTCACCACCACATATACAGTATAGGGCATAACATTACAAAATGTCACCACCACATATACAGTATAGGGCATAACATTACAAAATGTCACCACCACATATACAGTATAGGGCATAACATTACAAAATGTCACAGCCACATATACAATATAGGGCATAACATTACAAAATGTCACCACCACATATACAGTATAGGGCATAACATTACAAAATGTCACAGCCACATATACAATACAAGGCATTAACATGACAAAATGTCACCACCTAGTTGCTCACAATATTATGAGTTCAAACTTTTTGAGAACTTGTAAAGTCAAATTTGAACTTCTGAAAAGATGTAGATGATTTTGAAAAAAAAATTTGGTCAATTTGAAGCAAGTTGAAAACAGACCTTTTTGACCTTTTTTGACCTTGACAAGGTCATTGAAGGTCAAATGTCAAATCTAAAGTCATATTTGAATTTCTGAGAACATGTAGATGATTTTGAAAAAAAATTTAGTCAATTTGAAGCAAGATGAAAAAATACCTTTTTGACCTTTTTTGACATTGAGAAGGTCATTGAAGGTCAAATGTCAAATCTAAAGTCAGATTTGAATTTCTGAGAACATGTAGATGATTTTGAAAAAAAAAATTAGTCAATTTGAAGCAAGTTGAAAAAAGACCTTTTTGACCTTTTTTGACCTTGACAAGGTCATTGAAGGTCAAATGTCAAATCTAAAGTCATATTTGAATTTCTGAGAACATGTAGATGGTTTTGAAAAAAAATTTAGTCAATTTGAAGCAAGATGAAAAAATACCTTTTTGACCTTTTTTGACATTGAGAAGGTCATTGAAGGTCATATGTCAAATCTAAAGTCAGATTTGAATTTCTGAGAACATGTAGATGATTTTGAAAAAAAAATTTAGTCAATTTGAAGCAAGTTGAAAAAAGACCTTTTTGACCTTTTTTGACTTTGAGAAGGTCATTGAAGGTCAAATGTCAAATCTTAAGTCAAATGTAAAGTCAGATTTGAATTTCTGAGAACACGTAGATGATTTTGAAAAAAATTTTTAGTCAATTTGAAGCAAGTTGAAAACAGACCTTTTTGACCTTTTTTGACCTTGAGAAGGTCATTAAAGGTCAAATGTCAAATCTAAAGTCAGATTTGAATTTCTGAGAACATGTAGATGATTTTGAAAAAAAAAATTAGTCAATTTGAAGCAAGTTGAAAAAAGACCTTTTTGACCTTTTTTGACCTTGACAAGGTCATTGAAGGTCAAATGTCAAATCTAAAGTCATATTTGAATTTCTGAGAACATTTAGATGATTTGAAAAAAAATTTAGTCAATTTGAAGCAAGATGAAAAAATACCTTTTTGACCTTTTTTGACATTGAGAAGGTCATTGAAGGTCAAATGTCAAATCTAAAGTCAGATTTGAATTTCTGAGAACATGTAGATGATTTTGAAAAAAAAAATTAGTCAATTTGAAGCAAGTTGAAAAAAGACCTTTTTGACCTTTTTTGACTTTGAGAAGGTCATTGAAGGTCAAATGTCAAATCTTAAGTCAAATCTAAAGTCAGATTTGAATTTCTGAGAACACGTAGATGATTTTGAAATTTTTTTTTAGTCAATTTGAAGCAAGTTGAAAACAGACCTTTTTGACCTTTTTTGACCTTGAGAAGGTCATTGAAGGTCAAATGTCAAATCTTAAGTCAAATCTTAAGTCAGATTTGAATTTCTGAGAACACGTAGATGATTTTGAAAAATTTTTTTAGTCAATTTGAAGCAAGTTGAAAACACACCTTTTTGACCTTTTTTGACCTTGAGAAGGTCATTGAAGGTCAAATGTCAAATCTAAAGTCAGATTTGAATTTCTGAGAACATGTAGATGATTTTGAAAAAAAAATTTAGTCAATTTGAAGCAAGTTGAAAAAAGACCTTTTTGACCTTTTTTTACTTTGAGAAGGTCATTGAAGGTCAAATGTCAAATCTTAAGTCAAATCTAAAGTCAGATTTGAATTTCTGAGAACACGTAGATGATTTTGAAAATTTTTTTTAGTCAATTTGAAGCAAGTTGAAAACAGACCTTTTTGACCTTTTTTGACCTTGAGAAGGTCATTGAAGGTCAAATGTCAAATCTTAAGTCAAATCTTAAGTCAGATTTGAATTTCTGAGAACACGTAGATGATTTTGAAAAAAAAATTTGGTCAATTTAAAGCAAGTTGAAAACAGTCCTTTTTGACCTTTTTTGACCTTGAAAAGGTCATTGAAGGTCAAATGTCAAATCTAAAGTCAGATTTGAATTTCTGAGAACATGTAGATGATTTTGAAAAAAAAAATTAGTCAATTTGAAGCAAGTTGAAAAAAGACCTTTTTGACCTTTTTTGACTTTGAGAAGGTCATTGAAGGTCAAATGCCAAATCTTAAGTCAAATTTGAATTTCTGAGAACACGTAGATGATTTTGAAAATTTTTTTTAGTCAATTTGAAGCAAGTTGAAAACAGACCTTTTTGACCTTTTTTGACCTTGAGAAGGTCATTGAAGGTCAAATGTCAAATCTTAAGTCAAATCTTAAGTCAGATTTGAATTTCTGAGAACACGTAGATGATTTTGAAAAAAATAATTAGTCAATTTGAAGCAAGTTGAAAACAGACCTTTTTTGACCTTGAGAAGGTCATTGAAGGTCAAATGTCAAATCTAAAGTCAGATTTGAAGGTCAAATGTCAAATCTTAAGTCAGATTTGAATTTCTGAGAACATGTAGATGATTTTGAAAAAAAATTTAGTCAATGTGAAGCAAGTTGAAAAAAGACCTTTTTGACCTTGAGAAGGTCATTGAAGGTCAAATGTCAAATCTAAAGTCAGATTTGAACTTCTGAGAACATGTAGATGATTTAGAAAAAAATTGAAGTCAGTCTAAACAGTATTTGTTAAGTTATAGGAAGTTGTAAGAAATTGTTACAGACGCCGGACGCCAACCGCCGGACACCGGACGCCAACCACCAACCGCCGTCGCAAAAAAAAACGGAGACCATAACAATATGTCACCACTTTTGGTGGTGACATAATAGGGCATAACATTACAAAATGTCACCACCACATATACAGTATAGGGCATAACATTACAAAATGTCACCACCACATATACAGTAAAGGGCATAACATTACAAAATGTCACCACCACATATACAGTATAGGGCATAACATTACAAAATGTCACCACCACATTATACAGTAAAGGGCATAACATTACAAAATGTCATCACCACATATACAATATAGGGCATAACATTACAAAATGTCACCACCACATATACAGTATAGGGCATAACATTACAAAATGTCACCACCACATATACAGTAAAGGGCATAACATTACAAAATATAAGAATATATAAGAATTTGTTACAGATGCCAACTGCCAAACACCAACCACCAAACATCATCCAAAAAAAAGACTATAACAATAAACACTTAAATACTTCAATTGGCATTTTGTAATTTGGAGTGTTTGCAATTTTCAGCAAAATTTTTATTTGAGATTAAGTTATCTTCTAATTATAGATTTAAAACTTCCCTTTGGATGCTCAGATCCTGATTAACTTCACTTTAGTCTTGAGCCAGATATTTTTGATCCAGTTCAGAAGCGTTATTTTTGATAAAATTACAATAAATTCATGCAACCCCAAAATACATATACATTTTCTCTTGTATGCTGTTCATTTCAGCTCTAGAGCCTCAAGAAGATAACTCAGAATTCAAAGATGAACTCATCTTCATGTAAAAGTGAACCTTCAAAAGTTCAGTTAAATGGAGATAGTTTCATCTTCGGATTCTGGGTGATACCCTTTTTGGCAGCACTTACATCCCCAAAGGCTACATCTCCCTCATATGCAGCATTGATGACCATATCTTCCATAGACTTGGTCTGCCCATACGCTCTCAGATCATGATGACCATGAACCACCACAATTAGGGCGAGTATAAACACCACATATAAAACTATGTCTTTAAATGTCTCCCACATACTCTGTTCTTTAAGGCGTTGCTCTCTATGCTGTGCAAGCAGCTTGGGATCTGGGGGTCCGTAGTTCCTTTGTGTAATCTTGGTCTGCATGTATTGGTCCAATTTCTCTGACTCATTTAGCTTTTTGTCAACTGGAACTGTCCAACAAGTTGCCATTAATTAAACTAGACAACAGCAACGCCAAAGCGTGGCAAATCCCATCGAACAGCCATGGCTGGCATTTTTACAAACAAAGTATATAGCAAAAGGCAGCCATTTTTCAAAATGGCCGCCTTCTACCAAAAGTGTCATTAGACAGTGAGCCATGCTTATAGTATTCACATACCAAATATGAACAAAATTGCTCGACTAATTTTCGAGTTACAGCAAAAATCGTAAAATAACGAGTAAAGGCAGCCATTTTTCAAGATGGCTGCCATGTGCTTCTTTGATATCTACATTTCTAGCTTTGTTAATGTCCTTTATAATTTCTTTACATTTAAAACATACTGCTATTACTGTTTTACATATTGCACCTAAACTACTGTAAAATCGGCACTAGAATGATTGCCATTTTTAAATGAGTGGCCATTTTGAAAATCATTTTTCGAGCAGAACTTAGCCCCATAGGGTATGTGTACAAAATATGAACAAAATCGAGCCAACAGTATTTGAGTTATTGCCCGGGCAGATGTACATACGTACGGATGGACAGATGGACGGACGGAGGCGTTCCCTATATCCCTCCGAACTTCATTCGATGGGATAATAAAATGACTATAAAACTGAATGTTGTTTTGAAATGCTTTGTGAGGTCATGGATGTATACCAACTATATCCATGGTTAGGTGACCTATGGGATAAATAGAACATCCTATGATGTACTATACTATACTACTATGATTTTTTCATGATATCATTTTAATCCACTCATTGATATCAATATTCTGCACTCATTCGCTATGCTCACTCGTCCAGATATTGATATCAACTCGTGGATAAAAATGATATCTCTCAAAATCATAGGATATCCTATACTCATTCCATACTTACTGTGATAGTAACAGGATATCACGTAAAAACAAAAATGGTACTAGTGTAATCAGTCGAAAAATATAATATTTTTGGCAAAGTTTCACTGCACCATCTACTGCTTGTGTTATCTAATACAGCATCATTGTCTCATGACTACTTGAAATGTCTTATCCAACATCAATATCTCTCGACTACATAGAATGTCAAATGAATGCAACATCAATATCTATTGACTATTGTGATGTCTAATGCAACATCAATATCTCTCTAATTGTTTGTGATAATTCATGCAAAATCAACATCTCTTAATTGTCTGTGACTGTCGATGTAAAACAAATATTTCAAATTTCAATCATTTGTGATGTTTTATTGTGATGTCTAATGCAACATCAATGTCTCATGACTACTTGAAATGTCTAATGCAACATAAATATTTCTTGACTACATAAAATGTCTAATGAATGCAACATCAAAATCTATTGACTCTTGTGATGTCTAATGCAACATCAATATCTCTCGACTTCATAAAAACATGTCTAATGAATGCAACATCAATATCACTCGACTACATAGAATGTCAAATGAACGCAACATCAATGTCTCTCGACTACTTGAAATGTCTAATGCAACATCAATGTCTCTCGACTACATAGAATGTCAAATGAACGCAACATCAATGTCTCTCGACTACTTGAAATGTCTAATGCAACATCAATGTCTCTCGACTACATAGAATGTCAAATGAACGCAACATCAATATCTATTGACTATTGTGATGTCTAATGCAACATCAATATCTCTCGACTTCATAAAAACATGTCTAATGAATGCAACATCAATATCACTCGACTACATAGAATGTCAAATGAACGCAACATCAATGTCTCTCGACTACTTGAAACGTCTAATGCAACATCAATGTCTCTCGACTACATAGAATGTCAAATGAACGCAACATCAATATCTATTGACTATTGTGATGTCTAATGCAACATCAATATCTCTCGACTTCATAAAAACATGTCTAATGAATGCAACATCAATATCACTCGACTACATAGAATGTCTAATGCAACATCAATGTCTCTCGACTACTTGAAATGTCTAATGCAACATCAATGTCTCTCGACTACATAGAATGTCAAATGAACGCAACATCAATATCTATTGACTATTGTGATGTCTAATGCAACATCAATATCTCTCGACTACATAGAATGTCTAATGAATGCAACATCAATGTCTCTCGACTACTTGAAATGTCTAATGCAACATCAATATCTCTCGACTACATAGAATGTCAAATGAATGCAACATCAATGTCTCTCGACTACTTGAAATGTCTAATGCAACATCAATATCTCTCGACTACATAGAATGTCTAATGAATGCAACATCAAAATCTATTGACTATTGTGATGTCTAATGCAACATCAATATCTCTCGACTACATAGAATGTCTAATGAATGCAACATCAAAATCTATTGACTATTGTGATGTCTAATGCAACATCAATATCTCTCTAATTGTTTGTGATAATTCATGCAAAATCAACATCTCTTAATTGTCTGTGACTGTCGATTAAACAAATATTTCAAAGGAGTTGGGTAAACTAGCAACAGAGAGTGCCCCAATTGAAGTGTGAAAAAACTTTTTTTAAGAATAAGAGAAAAAAAACATCAGAAATGCATAGATTGAAGTCTATATTTTTGGGTAGTATTTTTAAAAAAATTTAGAAAAAATTGTTACAGTGTCTGGAGACCTTTAAAGAGGGTGGGGGCCAGAAGGAAAAAAAATTCACATATTTTGCAACCCTCTTGATGAATTCCAATTTACTTAGCTATGAATGAATGTTTTTGATTTATCTGTCCAGGATTATGTAAATATATATTTATTTGATCCATACATACAATTGATTTAAACAATATGTACAGTTTAGAGGTAAGTAAAGCTTTGAAAGGACATTTCATGCTGAGTCTGGGTGACATTTTTATTCACTGGAGGTAGTAATCCTTTGAGTGTTTTCACATAGAGCATAACAAGTCTCCACTCTAATAAGTTCTTCTTTAGTTACATAAATGTTATATTGTTGCATACAAAGAATAATTTTGATGGAGACTTATTATGCTCGATATGAATTTTAGAACTTTATAGAAAATTTTGCCTGCCATTTTTGTTGATTATTCAAAATGGCCAAATGCTATTCATGCTGCATATGTAGGAAGCAGGTAAATTCTCCTAGAAAACGGAGAAAGGTTACAGAAGATTTAGCTTCACAAGTCAAGAATGCCAAAGTTGGACAGATAATATGCAATAACTGTCGTCTAGATTCAAAACGAACCAACCATAATGGCAACTTACCACTGAAGGATGACCATACTGTGTCTCCATTCAAAATAGCATTCAAAACTAAACGGTAAGAGTAATTCATAATTTTTAATTACCCCTAAATTATATCTTTGTAAATTATCTCATGATTACAACAATATAGGGTAAAAGAAAGAATACTGACTATTGCAACTAATAAAAGAAGTGATATTGAGGTAATATAAGCTTGATTTGGGAGGAGATTGTTGTGATATTAGGTAATATCAGAACTTATATTTTTTTATATTGCATATGTAATGGCAATATGTTGGTAATTGGGCAGATATAAAGTTCATATTGGATTGATATTTGTCAGAAATTGCTATCGAATTGGGCTTATATTTGGGTGATATTGCTATAATATTGGGCTAATATTTGGGTGATATTGGATTGATATTGGGGTGATATTGCTATCATATTGGGCCAATATTTGCTTGATATTTGGGTGATATTGCTATCACATTGGGCCATAAAGTATTTTCATTATTTTAGGTACTTTTGTTCTCTTTCAGTGTTGCGTGGGAAGGGCGGAATATATTAATATAAATATCTCATTATTGGCAAATTGCCAATTTACTATATATTGTAATTCCAACCTCTATGAGACTAAATTCCTACAGATATTTGTGACATATTAACCAAAAAGGTATATTTTGGTAGAAAATAATGAATTTTTTTAATTTGACCTTGACCTGGGGAGTATGACCTTGACCTAAATTTTCATACATTTTTGAAACACATATATCACATAGATTAATAAAATAAAGAGAAAACTTGAAAATCAGGTGGGGCTCAAAATGGCCTTGTTTACCCAACTCCTTTCAATCATTTGTGATGTTTTATCCAAGATCATTTTCTCAATGTTTCTCAATTCTAGCTTTCCCTGCAGTTACAGTACAAAATCATAGTTTAGTGCTTTCATCAATTTTGCACAAGTGGTTAATTTCTGAACCATACGCAATTCAGGCAACCTAAGTTGTTTTTTCCATCTTTGGTGTACAATCTTTGAATTCTTTTTTGTTCCATATATGTATTGCATGCCAAGTTTGTTATGTTTGTCTTCTGAGTTGGTGTTGTTCCTGATCCAAGTTTTGACTTCATTGGGGAGGATCAGGCCAAGATCTGCATAGAGTTTCTGACTTTGCATTAATGGATTTTCACTGAAATCTTCATATTTAATTAGCAATAATCTAGGTTTATTATTTGTCACCTGGTAGCTCTGGATGAATTTTAGATTTTGCAGCATTGATTTACAAGTTGTGTCCATGTCTTCTGATTTTGAGTTAAGGGAGGAGTGTTTATAAGCGGGACTTTCATTATTCCTGGAATTGAGCAGCCCTCGTGGATCCCGGACAAGAAACAACAGAGCCGTGTCATTGCCAAAATACCCACTTAGTCTTTGAAGTGCCGTGTTATCTCGTATTCTTATCGTTTTTGCAACGACTAATTTTTTATTAGAACATAATTCTGATAGCTCTGTCAAATTTTTCTTCGCCAAATCTACAAGGTTCCTGTTCATTAGTATTCTCCAAAACCAGGCCTTTGAAGTGGTGAATAAGGACGTGCTTTGGAATCGACAGTTCATCAACTCTTGTAAATAAATCGGCCCGGTGAGTTGTATATCTTCAATTGGTTTCCTGTTATCATGTATTTGGCCTATGAATGGTTCAAACATGAAAAATACACCAGAATTGCTGCGAAAAAGTTCAGCAATGAAGCTAGATCCTGTTCTCCTGTAGGTTACTATAACAACCTTGGTTACTGTAGTTACCCCAATGGATGTGTCATTCTCAACATTGACAGCCACAGTTTTGAGCCTTTCAAAAATGATTACATGTATTTGATTTCATAACATTTCTCATTTCATAATAAAATAGTATACATTCATTCTAGTGTACAGTTCTCAATATAAAAATTGAGAACAGATTTACTTTGTTATTTTCAATATTATGAGGATTGCTTAAAAATCAATGCTTGTCTGTTAAACCCCTCCCTCTCATTATAAACAAAACTACATGTACATGTATAGCTTGATACAAAATCCGAAAATACCTGTAAGTGAAACTGGCTAATTTTTGCTTATATCTGTCAAAATGAAATTTTCTGAATTCTTGAGGCATTTGAATAACCGTGTATTAAAACAAAACATGTTATGAAATCAAACATGAAAAAAATGATGACATCCATTACCGAGACATCTCATCCAAAAGTGACTCCTTCTCTCTGCCACTTTTAAATGTAAAAAAATTGCTGACTCCTAATGAAAGAATTACTAATATGTACATCAAGTGGTTCTTCCTTTTGTATAATCTTTTTATTCCTAGCATAAAGCACTGTATTCTGGTCTTTTTTAGTGTTGTCGGCATACTTCCCGATCAATCCAGTATGTCCACATAAAACTGGAATATTACTAGCTATATAATGATCCTTTCAATGTGAGGTACAGTACAGTCATGACAACAGAGAGGCTACTGTAGGCTATTTATTGTTCTGTCACCCTTGACATGGTATCTATCATCGCAAAAATTCTCAATTGCAAAGACAGGGAACTAGAGAAAAATTCCAATTGAAATTCCAATGTTTATTTTTGTCATGAAAAATTAATTTAAACTCTTCACCTTTTCAATTTTTACATTTAATTGACACAGAAAGAGAATATACTACCATGAAATAATAAAAAAGATTAAAAAAGTCATGGTGTGTGATTTTGTTAAAACATTCACGACATTGATATATAGCATGAACATGATGAATAAAATGTTTAAAACCCATTCAAAGGATATAATTAGGTTGGCCATGTCTCTTTGACAATCATCAATGTAGAATATACAAAGTGATAAATAAAAATAAATGTTTAAACCATTTCAAATAAATATTGACAAAACAAGATAAAGATTTAAACCATTTCATTGGGATGTACTTGTTGAATATTGGTGATACTTTTATAGACAACTTTAGTGTTCAGTTAAACTTGTGTGAAAGAAAAAAACAATAATGGAAGATATTAATATTGGATGACATTTGACTTATTTAAAAGGATTTATACAGAGTGACCCAAAAATGCAACTCTCTAATTTTGGCATTACTTATTCAGTTAAAATTATCAGTGTACAAACTGTTCAATCAAATTCAAGTACTATATGGATATAAAACATCAACCACTTTGTGTTGCAATTAAGAGAAAAATCATTTTACTATCTATATGACTGTGTACATGTACTTTCAAATCAAATCATCCTCAAATGTCTAAGAAGGCTCTTTTTGCCTTATCAAACATACTGTTAACAAAATGTAAATGGTTACAAAAAATGTAACAATTTGTTACAGATGATAACTAAATAATGCCTACAACTGGACACTGATCACAAAAGGTGGCTGTAAAACATGTAATCAAAATGCCTTATTACATGTACCTCTTTTGAAACCCTGTAGAACAATGTCTCGGCATGGAAACAGTGTGAGGTGAAGTTGAGTAAAAGTTGGGAGCTCCACTCTCTAGACCTGTCAGCCAACTTGACAACCCCAAAAAAGGTTGTTTCATCAGCCAATCTGACTAGGGGGGACATATGTTAACACTCAGACATACCAGAGGTAACATTCCTTCACAATACAACTTATTAGTGGTCCTTTCCATTGGCACTTGTTCGATATTAACATTCATATACACATTCACAAACACAATTACCTCAACTGTCTTAAAGAACCCAGAGATATTTGAGTGGCCAAGGATCATTTCTCATTTGACCATTTATTAAATAAGGAAGGTCCTAGTAGATTTTTTTTTATTTATGTATATATTGTCTTTTTATTACTTTTTTTATTCATAAAAGAACATATGGAATCACTTTACATTTACATATACAATATTGCTTTGTACATGTCGTAGTACTATAATAATCACACATTTCAGAATTTTCTTGGTATCTTGGATGGGCCCAGAAAATAGAATGGGCCCTAAAAGGCCTTAAGGCTCCAAAAAGTAGGCCTTTATGGCCATTACTGGGCCTTTAAAGGCTTTATTTTTTAATTTTAGGCCAGATTTTGAAGAAAATGGGCCTCAATTTTTCAAAATTAGAGCCCATCTTTTGGTTTTAGGGGTTCACACTACTTGAGTGTAGTTCCCATAATTGCCCACATTTCCTCTTTGTCTGTCTGTTTATCCATATTACATTAAGTTCTTAGATTTGCATTATATCCTTTAATGTTGGTCTTAACATTGAGTGTTACATCTGTAAACAATTTATGAATATACGCAACATATTTGTTAGGATAGTTGTTCTTAGTTATTTATACATACTGGTCCTATCAGTATATTCTGATTTGTACAAACTACTGTCAATTCCTCAGGTAACCAATTTTCCATTTCTTCTATCAATTCCATTACCGCTTAAAGCATCATAGATGACAAGACAAATTGTCCCTGGTTCTTCTTTACAAAAGGTACAAAGATCAGACCATTGCCTTTTATATTCTTCAATGATTTTGAACATTTTGGTTCTTTGTAAGCTTTCCTAAGTGTTATATCACTCAATTTTAAAATGTTCTTTGTCTCCTTCTCTTTTGGTTCAGTGTATGTTCTAAAAATGGAAACAAAATCCTTCCAAAATTTGTTTGAAATAATTTCTTCTATTTTCTATTAGGATTTTGAATCATAGGTAGAGTTCATTTTTCGTCCTACATGTAGGTATTTTAATGATGAGACAGATCATACAATATAAGATGGGCAAACTTACCTAATTCACTCATGTCAATCTTGTCTCGTCTATCATCAATTTCAGCTTTCCTCTTACAGATCAATGCACACAGAATTGCCATGGCAACCACTTTGATAGGTTGTAGGACCACTATACTTGTGAAAATGGACGTCAAGATAGAGGTGAGCCACTCAATGCTTGCCTGGTAGCCATATTTCAAGCCATATAACATGATAAAGTATGTACACGTAATGCTAGTGAGGCTGCAGAGTGTCCAATTGATGTACAAGAACCACCATGGCAGCCTAGGGGAATAAATAGAGGTTGTTTCATGGTTGATTTCCAATGTGAATTTTGTTCCAGGGTAATATGACATTGACTGAGGATGATATGATATTGACTGAGGGAGATATGATATTGACTGAGGAAGATATGATATTGACTGAGGGAGATATGATATTGACTGAGGGAGATGTGATATTGACTGAGGGAGATATGATATTGACTGAGGGAGATATGATATTGACTGAGGGAGATGTGATATTGACTGAGGAAGATCTGGTATTGACTGAGGGAGATGTGATATTGACTGAGGGAGATGTGATATTGACTGAGGGAGATGTGATATTGACTGAGGGAGATGCGATACTGACTGAGGGAGATATGATACTGACTGAGGGAGATGTGATATTGACTGAGGAAGATCCGATATTGACTGAGGGAGATGTGATATTGACTGAGGAAGATGTGATATTGACTGAGGGAGATATGATATTGGCTGAGGGAGATATGATATTGACTGAGGAAGATATGATATTGACTGAGGGAGATATGATATTGACTGAGGGAGATGTGATATTGACTGAGGGAGATATGATATTGACTGAGGGAGATATGATATTGACTGAGGGAGATATGATATTGACTGAGGGAGATGCAATATTGACTGAGGGAGATATGATATTGCCTGAGGGAGATATGATATTGCCTGAGGGAGATATGATATTGACTGAGGGAGATGTGATATTGACTGAGGAAGATCTGGTTTTGACTGAGGGAGATGTGATATTGACTGAGGGAGATGTGATATTGACTGAGGGAGATGCGATACTGACTGAGGGAGATATGATATTGACTGAGGGAGATGTAATACTGACTGAGGGAGATATGATATTGACTGAGGAAGATCTGATATTGATTGAGGGAGATATGATATTGACTGAGGGAGATGTGATACTGACTGAGGAAGATGTGATATTGACTGAGGGAGATATGATATTGACTGAGGGAGATATGATATTGACTGAGGGAGATGTGATATTGACTGAGGAAGATCTGGTATTGACTGAGGGAGATGTGATACTGACTGAGGAAGATGTGATATTGACTGAGGGAGATATGATATTGACTGAGGGAGATATGATATTGACTGAGGGAGATCTGATATTGACTGAGGGAGATGTGATATTGACTGAGGAAGATCTGGTATTGACTGAGGGAGATGTGATGCTGACTGAGGAAGATGTGATATTGACTGTGGGAGATATGATATTGACTGAGGGAGATACGATATTGACTGAGGGAGATCTGATATTGACTGAGGAAGATCTGATATTGACTGAGGGAGATGTGATACTGACTGAGGAAGATATGATATTGACTGAGGGAGATATGGTATTGACTGATGGAGATGGGATACTGACTGAGGAAGATATGATATTGACTGAGGGAGATATGGTATTGACCAAACGATTGCAGCTCCAACAAGAGGATTTCGAGAGGGCAAAATAAGATGGTTCAAATGAGAGCTGAGAAATCCATAAATGGTTCTAGTTCATATATGATATAATAAAAGAACTCATCTAAAATCATTATGTTAAAATGTACAAGGACCGACAAACAAGTGGGTGATTAGAATAACTCATTACATGTTTGGCCTCATATGACAAAGCATACACATACCCAACTGGCTCTTTCTTCTTCACATGAAGTTCAACATCACTTTGGCTCTCCCCAACACTCCAAACATCCTTTTCTGCATGTTGTTTCCACCTCACTAACACAGACTTTTTCCTTCTGCCATCCTCTAATATATATGTTTCAGTAGCCTCTGCATCGAGCGCAGTAGGCCTTGGAGTTGCAGCTGAAGGATCATGTGAATCAGGCAATATTTTCTTTGGTTTTAACTGTTCCCCATGAAGTTTAACATGCTCATTGGGGCGCTTTATTTCTGCATTTTCACCTTCTGCTTCATCAGCCATGAAGAAAATATCACCACTTCTAATTTCAGTTTCGGATGCTTTCTTGCCCATCGTCAATTGCTCTTTGAAATCTGATGAATCAAACCTACTCTCAGTTTCCAGACTAGCGTATGATTCAGTATTGAATTCATCATCAATTTCTTGCAACTTGCTTGGTTTTGCTTTGGTTAGTCTAAAGAGTTGCACAATGATCACGTTAATTGGGAACATGAGGAGACTACATTCTAATCCCATCACTATAGCTGATATTGATATATGGATACTACCAATCTGTTGTTGTAGCTTAGGCTCATCACTTGGTACATCAAAAAACATGATTTTGGTCAACATGTAGCTCAGGAGCAATGTAAATGCACACATTAACCGCTGTACCCGTGTGAAATGACTTTCAACAGGTTTTGAGAATATGCTCAACCAGAGATGATCCTCACGCATATTTTTACTAGCGAGACCCGGGAACGCTGTGCCAAACTGTTTCAAGTCTTTTTCATTTGTAGGAAGTAGTGTACATGAGGTAGTGAAGTCACCACGGTCAACAGCCAACCATCTGTTGCACATAAATTGCCAGACATGGTCTTTCTGTAGATCTCTCACAGTAACTTGGGTCAGATACCTGCAGAGGAAGAGGATATAGATTGTTTTGATAAACTACATGCCATCTTTTGATCCATCAGAGAAACTATAATGTAAAGGCTAGGCTGATTACGTTATTAGCAGTAAGTAGAAATCTGTCCATGCAAAAATAGTATTAATTAATTTGCTAATTTTGAATAAATAGTACCGTGGGTACTGGGCTCACATGGTGTTGCCCAAAAGTGAATGATGGCTAAAATGACAGAAATAAAAAAAACGGATATAACTTTTGTGCCGATTTTTTGTAACAAAATCATATCATACAACTACTCTTTACAAGGACATGGCTTTTTACAATGCAGGACACCTGAAATTATTTGTAAAGCTAGGAAATGGGCCAAAAGTGAATTTCACTAGAAAAAAATGGTGGCCATTTTGAAAATAGGCGAGCTTTTGAAGCAAGAGTCATAGGGGAGTTTTTTGTATTGATGTTGAACAACATGTGAGCTAAAAAGTACAACCTATGACATCATATATTATAGTTTCACAGATGGTTCAGTTTATAAAGCCTTGGGTATAAAAATATCTATACTGTGAGATGGATTATGTTTGAATTCATAACAATAAATAGAGTGATCATCCTACAAAGAAAAATATTGGAAATATAATTACATAGGTTGGAAGAGTGATATGAAATATACATGTAGTACTTTTAGTGGGGCATAAAAGGTATTTTAAAAGGTGTTGCTTAAAAAAAGTTCATTAAACTAGTCAACAGGACTTCATTCTTTTGACACCTATTTCCTGTAGATAAGTGTCCTTTAACGAGAGGTGTTCAATAGGGCATGTTAAGTGTCCTTTAAAGAGAGGTGTTCAATAGGGCATGTTAAGTGTCCTTTAATGAGAGGTGTTCAATAGGGCATGTTAAGTGTCCTTTAACGAGAGGTGTTCAATAGGGCATGTTAAGTGTCCTTTAACGAGAGGTGTTCAATAGGGCATGTTTTAGTATCTTACCAGTTTGGATTGTCTCCAGTGTTGTCGTGCCATATGGTTACAGACCTTGGATAGCTCATATTTTCATCTGTTGTCATTAAGAAATAGTCCTCACTTCCATTATGAAACATCTCTACCTGCTTTCCCCTGTGTTTCAAATGGTGGGGCTCGCTAGATCCCCCGATTCCATTTAGTTGAAGGAACACATTGGCACTTGTACCTGCATCATGACGCCAACCTGTTACTATGGTAATAAGGTAACCATAGTGATGTAAAGGATTGTTGTCTTCCAGTAAAGTAACACCAGTCTAAAACACATTCAATGACCATAATGGTTGCTATCATATAACATTACCTTGTTCGATATATCAATGGAAATCATAACTGAGACTCAACTGGAGCAAATTAAATAAATAAAAAAATTAAATATTTGATCCTTGATGCTGATTTTTGAAGAATATATTTGCAGAATCAATAAAAGATTTAGTGAAATAAATTAGAGGATAGCTTCAAAGGCCAATATTAAACTATGAAATGCTAACTTGGGCTCTTCATCACCAAAAAGTAAAGTTAAATTGCGAGGGAATTTATGAACAAACAATAGGTGCAACATGAACCTCTATATAAATTACTCAGACAAGTATTGTAATGATTCATTACAATCAGGCCCGTAGCCAGGGGGGTTTTATGGGTTCGAGCCACCACCCCCCCCCAGCCAAAAAATCTTTCAAAATCATGCAGTTTTCACCATTCTGAACACTATAAAGTGATTCTGGCCATTTTTGGACCAAAATTGCCACAAGTGAACCCCCCCTGGAATTTTTCAAACTCCTGCTTGCAAATCCTGGCTACCGGCCTGACAATACTTTTTTTTTTTTTTTTTTCATGTTATCGATTTATTTCAAATAAAAACATAGATGTACAAGGTTAGCTGATTGCCAAAGTTTTGCAACATTAGCGGCAATTAAGTAATATAACATAAATGAAATAATAGATATAATATAAAATACAAAAGGTTTACATATATTCTTAATTCCAAATCACTGAATCAAGGAAATCCCATGGGCGGTGATGATGAAAAAAAGGAAAGAGCAGAAAAATGAAGAAACGGAACCTGTTGTCACAGACGTGATATGATAGTGAAACTCGTGTATATATAATAACTAACAATATGAATTAATTCTTCATTTGTTGATGCATCTAAATCATCTTTTCCAAAAAGTAAAAATTGTAATTTATCATTCAAATTGTAGCTGTTAAACAGGTTTCCTAAATTGTAAGTATGAAGGCCTGCAATGAGGTTGATTCTTTCATCATGGAGCAGTGGGCAATTTAAAAGAAAATGCAAGGTAGTCAATGGAACACCACATTTACACAAAGGGTCACTAATGACAATACTTGTGGATCCGATTCTGGCTACTGATTGGTAAATCATGAGGGATTTATTTTCAGCATCAAAAGTATCAAGCCAGTCACATTGCATGAGCTTGACATGTGACCCTGGCATTTGAGAAAAACAAAGAGATTAAGAGAAATTAATAATACAAATAGGATTAAGTATTTTCGGTCAACTAATTTGAGTGAAAATTTCTTACTCGAGTAAGCTACTATCGACGGTTAACCAACTGCCAAGCATATTGTAACAAGCCAGATAGACTATGACACAGACATGAAAGAAAGTATGCTAAATTCAATACCCCACGTGGGAATCGAACCCAGGACCCTCAGTTTCAGTCTGATGATCTACCACTGAGCAAAAGGGCTTAAGCCACTACAGCTGGCCTGCAGTAGCAACTTGCTATCCAGGGTGATACAACAGGTTGACAACATACAGTAATTACTTACATGTAAAAGATCTTTCCTGTCCCTTTTCCTGGCATACACTGCAAGTATGACAAACAGCGCCCAAACAACAATCATCATAGACACAGTCACTGGGTTATCAAAGAAGGTCAAGAACAACTTGGCATCATTGAAGGGGTCTATCTTGTTGGGAAAGGCAATGAAACTGCCAGTAAATATTGTCATTTTTAGCCTACAATCACAGAATAAACTTTCTGGTGTAGAAAGCCTTGATACCTGAAATGTAATAGATTTCATGTAAAACTTGGCATAAAAGGGTAAATGTTTAAAAGCCAATTCAAAAGGTAAATGTTTATAAGCCCATTCAAAATGTGAGGAATTATCATTTTCATCACTTATGTACAGTCTGAGAGTACATGTACTATATTTCGACACAAAAAGTTGTTTTAGCCATTTTTGGAAAAATTTCAAATATCATATCCTGATCATAATACATGACAATACAAGTGGTTCAAACTTTACATAGGGCCTTTAAGGCAGTGTGTGTGCAAGATCTTTTTCAGAAACTCTAAGATGCTTTGCTACTAAAGCCATCTTTCAAAATTAAACAAATTACTGTGATGATACAGTTATGGAAAAATGTAGCTGTCATCATTTGTGAACATTTTGGAAGTTAAATGAATTGAATTAAGATTCAGCTACAAGTAAAATGGTAAAATTTTGTAGACATAATCCCCTAAAACTAAAACTTACAAGACAACCAGAATTGCTCCACGACTGTGAAGACTCACTCCAGAACAAGCAGTTTGATGTATAAGTGCCAACATTCAGCTCTATGGACAGAGCCTTAGTTTCATTCTCAGGCCTACCATTCATACTGTAACTTGCTATAAACTCTGCATTTGCTGTGTCATTATCAAGTAGTATACCTACAAATACACATTGCTATAAACTCTGCATTCACTGTGTCATTATCAAGTAGAATACCTACAAATACATACTGCTATAAACTCTGCATTTGCTGTGTCATTATCAAGTAGTATACCTACAAATACATATTGCTATAAACTCTGCATTTGCTGTGTCATTATCAAGTAGTATACCTACAAATACATATTGCTATAAACTCTGCATTCGCTGTGTCATTATCAAGTAGTATACCTACAAAAACATATTGCTATAAACTCTGCATTCCCTGTGTCATTATCAAGTAGTATACCTACAAATACATATTGCTATAAACTCTGCATTCGCTGTGTCATTATCAAGTAGTATACCTACAAATACATATTGCTATAAACTCTGCATTCGCTGTGTCATTATCAAGTAGTATACCTACAAATACATATTGCTATAAACTCTGCATTTGCTGTGCCATTATCAAGTAGTATACCTACAAATACATACTGCTATAAACTCTGCATTTGCTGTGTCATTATCAAGTAGTATACCTACAAATACATATTGCTATAAACTCTGCATTCGCTGTGTCATTATCAAGTAGTATACCTACAAATACATATTGCTATAAACTCTGCATTTGCTGTGCCATTATCAAGTAGTATACCTACAAATACATATTGCTATAAACTCTGCATTTGCTGTGCCATTATCAAGTAGTATACCTACAAATACATATTGCTATAAACTCTGCATTTGCTGTGCCATTATCAAGTAGTATACCTACAAATACATATTGCTATAAACTCTGCATTTGCTGTGCCATTATCAAGTAGTATACCTACAAATACATATTGCTATAAACTCTGCATTCGTTGTGTCATTGTCAAGTAGTATACCTACAAATACATATTGCTATAAACTCTGCATTCGCTGTGTCATTATCAAGTAGTATACCTACAAATACATATTGCTATAAACTCTGCATTCGCTGTGTCATTGTCAAGTAGTATACCTACAAATACATATTGCTATAAACTCTGCATTCGCTGTGTCATTATCAAGTAGTATACCTACAAATACATATTGCTATAAACTCTGCATTCGCTGTGTCATTATCAAGTAGTATACCTACAAATACATATTGCTATAAACTCTGCATTTGCTGTGCCATTATCAAGTAGTATACCTACAAATACATATTGCTATAAACTCTGCATTTGCTGTGCCATTATCAAGTAGTATACCTACAAATACATATTGCTATAAACTCTGCATTTGCAGTGTCATTATCAAATAGTATACCTACAAAAACATACTGCTTTAAACTCTGCATTTGCTGTGTCATTATCAAGTAGTATACCTACAAATACATATTGCTATAAACTCTGTGTTTGCTGTGTCATTATCAAGTAGTATACCTACAAATACATATTGCTATAAACTCTGCATTTGCTGTGTTATTGTCAAGTAGTATACCTACAAATACATATTGCTATAAACTCTGCATTCACTGTGTCATTATCAAGTAGTATACCTACAAATACATATTGCTATAAACTCTGCATTCGCTGTGTCATTATCAAGTAGTATACCTACAAATACATATTGCTATAAACTCTGCATTCGCTGTGTCATTATCAAGAAGTAAACCTACAAATACATATTGCTATGAACTCTTCATTTGCTGTATCATTATCAAGTAGTATACCTACAAATACATATTGCTATAAACTCTGCATTCACTGTGTCATTATCAAGTAGTATACCTACAAATACATATTGCTATAAACTCTGCATTCACTGTGTCATTATCAAGTAGTATACCTACAAATACATATTGCTATAAACTCTGCATTCGCTGTGTCATTATCAAGTAGTATACCTACAAATACATATTGCTATAAACTCTGCATTCGCTGTGTCATTATCAAGTAGTATACCTACAAATACATATTGCTATAAACTCTGCATTCGCTGTGTCATTATCAAGTAGTATACCTACAAATACATATTGCTATAAACTCTGCATTCGCTGTGTCATTATCAAGTAGTATACCTACAAATACATATTGCTATAAACTCTGCATTTGCTGTGCCATTATCAAGTAGTATACCTACAAATACATACTGCTATAAACTCTGCATTTGCTGTGTCATTATCAAGAAGTATACCTACAAATACATATTGCTATAAACTCTGCATTTGCTGTGTCATTATCAAGAAGTATACCTACAAATACATATTGCTATAAACTCTGCATTTGCTGTGTCATTATCAAGTAGTATACCTACAAATACATATTGCTATAAACTCTGCATTCGCTGTGCCATTATCAATAGTATACCTACAAATACATACTGCTATAAACTCTGCATTTGCTGTGCCATTATCAAGTAGTATACCTACAAATACATATTGCTATAAACTCTGCATTTGCTGTGTCATTATCAAGTAGTATACCTACAAATACATATTGCTATAAACTCTGCATTCGCTGTGTCATTATCAAGTAGTATACCTACAAATACATATTGCTATAAACTCTGCATTCGCTGTGTCATTATCAAGTAGTATACCTACAAATACATATTGCTATAAACTCTGCATTTGCTGTGTCATTATTAAGTAGTATACCTACAAATACATATTGCTATAAACTCTGCATTCGCTGTGTCATTATCAAGTAGTATACCTACAAATACATATTGCTATAAACTCTGCATTCGCTGTGTCATTATCAAGTAGTATACCTACAAATACATATTGCTATAAACTCTGCATTCGCTGTGTCATTATCAAGTAGTATACCTACAAATACATATTGCTATAAACTCTGCATTCGCTGTGTCATTATCAAGTAGTATACCTACAAATACATATTGCTATAAACTCTGCATTTGCTGTATAATTATCAAGTAGTATACCTACAAATACATTGCTATAAACTCTGCATTTGCTGTGTCATTGTCAGGTAGTATACCTACAAATACATATTGCTATAAACTCTGCATTCGCTGTGTCATTATCAAGTAGTCACTACAAAAACATATTGCTTATAAGTAAAATGATCTATTCTTGCTTATATAATATACTTCCATGAAAACCTTTTTGGGTTTTAAAGCTTTTTGTCAAGATCACCAAAATATATATATATAAAACTAAAATGATTGCATTTTAGTCTTAAAGGGTTCCGATTAGCATCCCGTATAAAAACAATATGGCGGCTCCAGGCGAATCAACTGGATCAGTCCATTTTTAAGAAATAAGGGGAGTTCTGTAAAATCCAGTTTATTGAAATTGTCTTTGAGATAAAGTAATCCGTTTATAATGATTTTGAAAACGTTATCCAAAGAGTGATTGCGTTCAAAGAATACATATACAACAGCCAATATAAATCCTTGTATTAGAAACCGGTTTGTCTTGCTTTGTTTCATTTGTAGGATATTTTATATGCAAAGCTGTGTGCTATTACGTTATGGGGAAATTTAGATACCAATTTTTCCTTATTATACACAAATAGAAGATCCTGAAGCTTCATCCATAAATGTGGAATTGATTTGTCAAAATAAAAATCACCCTTTTATAAATGTGTGACGATCTATAATATACTTATGCTAAATAACAGTAAGAGGTGTTGACACAACGACCTCGAACCTGTGAACCCTTGAGTATTATTCCGGGATCGGGCCTTTTATACTAAACGGTGAGCAACACCAGAAATGAGCGTTCGATTTGCTAAACGATATGCGTCACCCTTTAAATCAACCTTTATGACCCCCCCCCCCCTACAGCCCTACACTCTGGAGGTCACGTAGGTGGGGGACTAGTTCAATACTATGGAAATAAGAAGTGGATGAGCCAAAACAAAACAACACTTTTTTTGTCAACTTCTGGGTCAATTTTTCATAATCAAGTCGACTCGAATTTTCTCCATGACTTTCACCATTAGAAGTTACATGCTTTTTAGTTGAATGTCTTACCAATGAACAATGTTCTATGAATGTCAGATCTAGGCAGATATATCATATTAGGTTGAGCTGTCTTATTTGTTCGTGATCGATAGAGTGTCTCATTATTGCATGGTATCGTCATGGTTTCATTCCTCATATCATCCATATTTGGTCTTTCACCCTCTTTAACATGCACCTTAAGAGTGATGTTTTCCATGACAGGTTGAACCTTTATGACAGGAGTTTCACCCTTAGTTACATGGAACCTCAGGACAAGTATATCTTCATCTTTGAACTCTGGCAAGGTGAATGTGTTAAAGGTTGAGTTTTCCTGGATTGGTACTGTAAGGGTGACACTCCCCATCTCAGGTATATCTGAAACAATAACCTATGTGCAATATCTGTTGCACAAAGTAGTGATGCATGAATGTCATTGTTTGTTTTTCTGTATATTTATACTATAGCTTGCTTATCAGGTGAAACTACAAGTATGCACTTACATGTATATATACATACAGGCCAGTAGCCAGGGGGGGTTCGCAGGGTTCGGGCGAACCCCCCCCCCCCCCGGCCAAAAATTCTTTCAAAATCAAGCAGTTTTTCACCATTTTGAGCACTTCTCAAGTGATTTTAGCCATATTTGGGCCAAAATTGTAAAATGTGATCCCCCCTTGAAATTTTTGAAAAATGAACCCCCCCTTGGCAAATCCTGGCTACGGGCCTGACATATATAGTTTTGGATGAACAGAACTCAGATTAATATAGCATGGATCCAGTATAGAGGTTATTATTCATTAAATCAGTTGATACAGAATCATATCACAGGTCCATAGCCAGCTTTTGCCAAATGGGGGGTTCACTTTTTAAAAAAAATTCAGAGGGTTCGCATTTGACCATTTCTGCCACCAATCACTTAAAAGTGCTCAAGATGGTGGAAATCTACATGATTTTGAAAGATTTTTTAGCAGAGACCACCGCTTGAACCCGCGCCATCCCCCTGGCTATGGGCCTGTAACTTGGTCACAATGTCTTGATTGTTATATCACACAAACTACAATTTTCTGAAATAACAAAGAAGTCCTATCATATATTTGCCCAATTTCGAGTACCTCTTGTGGGGAGATGTATTGTGAGATCCTCTGCTATGCTGTCTACATTCAGTGCAAGGCCATGTGAATTCCTCATTGAAAGCCCTATCAGATCAGTGGTCACATTGTCACCAGTGTCATCCCAGATGAACGGATTCTCCTCCATCTGGTACAACTGCAAACACGAATCAATCAACCAATACAGTAGAACCTGTGTAATTCAAATATCCACTGGGACTGGCCAAATGTGTTTTGATTGGCAGTTGCATGGTTTTAACATGAAAGTGTATTATTTTATATGGCAGATAAAATAAAATTAGACCAAATAGTCTTCAGATTAAGAGATGTTCAGAAAGGAGAGGTGTTTTGATATGGTTCAATAATATGAATGTGCATGTATATCCCTAGGCATCAGCATATCAAATTTAATCCAAATCAGTCAACTGGTACTTGAGTTATCAAAGATTACATTTTAAATGAAAAATAGTGGAGATTTTGATAAATAGTGCTTGAAAATCTTGAAAATTTCTTCTCGAGTAGAGCTCCTTTATCTCTAGGCATCAATATATAAAATTTAAAACATTATCTTTTTTAATGAAAAATGGCGGCCATTTTGAAATTCAGCTGACGCCTTTGAAATTTCCTCTGAAAACAGATCTCCTTCTTCCCTGGACATCAGCATGTAATATTGGAACCAAATCCATCCGATGGTATTTGAGTTATCAATGATTATGTTTTTACGAAAAATGGTGGCCATTTTGAAATTCAGTGGCCATCTTGAAAATGTCTTCTTGAACAGACTTCCTTTGTCTCTAGGCATCAGCATATAGAATTTGAACCAAATCATTTATGAGTTATCAAAGATTACGGTTTTTACGAAAAATAGCCGCCATTTTAAAATTCAGCAGCCATCTTGAAATTGTCTTTTTTAACAAGACTCCTTTTATCCTTAGGCAACAGCATATAAAATTTGAACCAAATCGGTCAACTAGTATTTGAGTTATCAAAGATTTTTTACAAAAAATGGTCGCCATTTTGAATTGAGAAAATATATTATTATTATATGTTGGAAATTCCTTCTCGAGCATAGGTCCTACAACCATAACGCATAAGTCTATATAATTTGAATTAAATCCGTCAACTGGTATTTGAGTTATTACCTGGACAGACGGCAAACAGACCGACGGCTTTCCTATATCCCCCTCGAACTTCGTTCGGTGGGATAACAACAAAGTCCACCAGCCCATAGACAGTTGGAGTTGAATGGTTTGAGGCAAAAAATATTTCACAATTTTGAGCACTGTTCAAGAGATTTTGGGCCCAAATTGTCAAATTTGAACCCCCCTGAGAATTTTTCAGAAACTGATCTGTCAGACTCTGGCAAAAGCTGGCTATGGGCCTTTTGAGTGAATAAAGGGAGGTAGATGTAGTAGTGGAAAAGCAAGTAACGGAGGGGGGGGGTAGGGGGGGGGGGGTAGGTACGAAAAATTTCGAACGGAATGCGTGACATATTCGTAATTCGCGTGAAAAGTCCGAACGAAATGCGTACATTTTTTTCCGGCGTTCGTATTTTTGCTGTGTAGACGATCTTTTTTAGAAATTTTTCTACAGAAATATTTTTGCTTGACAATTACCAGGTAAAATGCGTATTTGCGTGACATTTTCTGTCACGCAAAAATAACTGGCGTGACTTCAAATTCTTCAGCAAATGCGTGACAAATACGCAAATTGCGGGACAGTTGACAGGCCTGATAACATAAATGTACAATAGTTTATTGTCAAAGACCACTTACGTATAATTTGTAGGCATCATCAAAGATGTCTTTACTGTCAGTTGCCCCAATCTGGGCTGCCTTAAGTGCATGTGCACTTGGAAGAAGAATAGTTGCAGGGGTGCTTCCCTCTGGTGGTGAGCCAACTGATAGTTCCTTATTACCTATAAAAAAATAATTGATTATGTTTGCAGCCACTATGAAATTCAGTTGCCATCTTGAAAGATTACATTTTTTTCAAAAAATGGTGGCCATTTCAAAATTCAGTGATCATTTTGAAATGATCTTCTTTACTGTTCCTTTTCTCCCTAGGCATCAGCATATAAAATTTGAACCCAAACGGTTGACTGGTATTATACCCAGTTTTAAGAACATATGTAAAATTTAAAACATATTTTGAAAGAGAACAATATTTAAGCCTCCAAAACAAAAATCACAGGCAACCATTTTCACAACTGAGATTAAGTTCACATAAGTTACAAATAGAACTGGGTAGACATGTGAAACCACAGCCAAAACCTGAATATGAAAGATTATTTAACTTTTGTGGGGGAATAGAAAATGAAGTTCATTTCATGATTAAATGCCAAATGCATAGAGAAAATAGAAAAATATTATTTGACAACATCACTAGCAAAATTAATATTGATGAACATCATCCTGAAAATGCATTCATTATGTTAATTTCTTCAAAAGATAAATATGTTCAAAAGCAAGTTGGGAGTTTTATAACAAAATCATTCAAAAACTTGAAACTGCTTGGAGATTAGCATTTTGGGTGCATCACACGTAAAGTATATTGTAACATTATGCAAATAGTGACTGCCATTGAGGGAAATGGTGCAAAATATTTTTCTCCTGTCCATTGACAATTCAGTGGGTGGACAGGATATTCCCGAAGGGAAAATTTTTACACTTCTTCGCGAAAATGTGGCAGTAGTGACACATGTAGGTAAAAACTATCCAATTCTGCACATAGAAGGCATGCATAATACCAAAAAATGCTGGGATTGAAATACATTTGTATTAAGCCAATTTACTGACTGAATTACTCAGTTGGAGTAACATTCCTTGGGAAACTTTCCCGGGGACAGATAATTGTTCCATCTATTGACTAAACAAGGTAATATACTTCACTCCACCTTTTGTAAATGAGGACTCATATATATATTTGATTAATCAAAGATTATATTTTACCAATATAATATTATATATTACACATGTTTCTGAAAATTCCTTCTCGAGCAGAGGTCGAGGCATTTGCACCAAATCCATTGACCAGTTTTTGACACAGTAACGAACAGACGTACGGATGAACAAACAGACAGACAGTTTCTTTATATGACTTCGAACTTCTTTCTGTGGGATAATTTAGTTATATAGAAGGGGTTTTACTCAGACTTCCCACTTTCAACAAATGTACATATATGAAATGGAATACACCTGTTATTTATGGTCAGTTTTGGATATAGGGTTTATCCCTCAAGAAATATGTGCATCTGTATCAAAAATCTCCCAGTACATGATCCTTACATGTACAAAATTGGTGAGGATAGACTTGCCTCAGGCAAACTCATTCAAACCCATATGAAAATAAAGCCATAGAATTTAGAATTTTTTACTTAGATACTAACCATACTCTTTAATCTCTATTCAAGAAGACTTTATGATTTAAAATGCAATACAGGATATATTCTGCTTGAGAAATTCTATATTGGAACGAGACAAAGTTGAGTGCCAATACAGAATATAGAGACAGAATATATCCTGTATTGCACTTCAAATCATTCAATAACGTTTTTATCGTATGATCTTAGGCCAGTACATTTTTATATACTTAGAAGAAAATCACTCAGAAATATTCTGTATTCTCTGTATTGCTACTGAGACTGTCCACTTCGTACCAATATTTTTTTTGTATTGCTATGGAGATGATTAATGGGGACAATCTGAGAGTAGCAATACAGATTGGTACAGCATAAGAACTGGCCAATCAGCGGGCTTCATTTTACAGATCATACAATAAATGCTATTATTATAACCTGGAATATTCTTTTACCAGTGAAATTGGTCATCTGTTGCATCCTTATACTTTCAATGCAGTGTGTTATTTTCATATTAAACTATTTAACATTTGAACATTTAAAGTACATCATTGGTAAGCTATATTAAAAGCACCCCATGCAGACAGATCATCTAAAATTACATTCGTATGATAGTCTAGAAGAAAGCCACGAGGGGGTCGTTTTGGAGTATATACAATGTTTTATTGCATAATATGTTGGTCTGATGTGTTCTGATGAAAATTTGACAAATATGCAGTAATGTTACCGTGAGCAATTTTTTCTGCAAGGTCAGCAGAATTTACAATATTCCATAAGTAGGGATTTTAAGAATCTAGTTTTAAGAACTTATATACTTGCTTTTACATGATTTTAGTGATTTCATGTCACATTCACATGATTAACTTTGAACTGAACCTTGAAACTGATAAAAATAAATGTCGTAATTAAGTGCTGAGTCAGCGGTAATAGTTATTTTGCTCATTTCAATTGATTTTACATATCTTATCAATTTACAACCATATATTTGGACTTTAATGGTCAAAACTTAATGTTTTAAAGAACAAGGTTACTCTTTTAACTAAGATGTCAACTTTATTCGAAATATAATATGCTGACGTCAGCAAAATACTTCATCAAAATAGCAAAGCAGTCTTAAGCTTTAAATATTGTTAATTGTAACAGTAGCAGGAAGCCTAATATAAACAATTGAAATCTTATACCATGCAAAATATGGATTTATTAGCTAATTAATTAGAAGCTCTAAGGGGAGGGGGTAACAAAAGGCCCTCACAGTTCAGTTTTTCTCTAAAACTTTTTAAAGGCAACAGGTAGAATCTTCAAATTCTCAGTAGCTGGATCTAAAGATATAACAAATGTAAATATGAAAAATCAGCAGAATTGTATGAAGGGTAATTAATTTATTATGATGTAATCATCAGCTCCAAGAGACAAAACCTTATTATATAAACTCAGAATCACTAATTCTACCACATTCACTTTTATAGCGTGTGTAGAGGAGGATGGAGGATGGGACCAACCGAATATGAAATGTTTAGTGTCGATTTTTAGTTCTAATGAGCACTGATTTCTTGTATGAGTTTTGCTACTTGTAAATATATACTATAAATGGGGGGAGAGAGTTTGTGGGATATGGCATCTGTCAGGTGCATTGTTCTACTTACATGTAGCAGAAATGAAGGCACTGCAGGCCCGTAGCCAGAATTTTCCAAGGGGGGGTTCGTTTTTCTAAAAAAATTCTAGGGGGGTTCACTTTGGCAAATATGGCCAAAAATCCCCCCTGGCTACAGCCCTGCACTAGAAACTGAATGCATGAATCCTACCAGTATGCGCTTAAATGGTCAAGGAGGATCGGCTCCCAGAGTGCAACATCGATATTCTCTCCCATATATGAGCATGTTGTGATACTAAATTATGGTGGCATTGTCATTCGAAGATCAAAGAATCAGTCAGTTGTGTTTCCATAGATTAAGCGCTAAAAAACTATAAATAAATATCACAAGCCATTTCATCAGAATATTAAAACATAGTATTTGCCCATTTAATTCAATTCTTTATAATAGTTTTTTCTGAAAAGTTACTAATTCACAACGAGGCAGAATTGTATCTTTTAGAATCAATATTTTATAATGAAGTGTATTTTTAGAATTTAAATCTTAATGAAATAGGATAAGTGTCAAAATGAAATGGATTACATCACAATTTAATAAATGAGAAAAGATAATCTTGAACCATTAACAAGACAAAATGCCACAAAGGTTATCGCAAACAAATGAATAGATAGGATTCAACCATTTACTGTGTTTATATATGTAGTGAATTAGTCCAGTTCGTATCTAGAACAAGAGCAGGGTGTCTAGGAGCAAAATTGTTTCTTCAGAATATTACAGTTATACTAATTGGCCATTTAATTCAAGACTGAATGATAGTTTTTTTCTGAAAAGATACGAATTCACAATGACGGAATGGGGTATCTTTTAGAATCAATATTCTATAATGAAGTATATTTTTAAAATTTAAATCTTAAATAAAATAAGATTAGTGTCAGAATGAACTGGATTACATATTACAATAAAAAAAGAAATGAAGGAACGAGACTCTTTTATGATCAATATTTAATCGTGCTGAGTCTTGGCTCATACCGCCAAACTAGTGACAAAAACAAATGCCAACTCAATTGACATTAAAAGATAAACTTGCAAGAATTAGCAAGACATATAGACAATTGCAAACAATTTCAGACATAAGTGAAGATGCGATGTTTGGATATTGTTCTAGATTATATAAGAATTGTATCCTTGACATTACATGTATGTCTTGTTTTTATAACATTTTTTTGATATAATTACTAATTTCCCTCATTGATCATGTAAATTACTGAATTAAATAATTTTAGTTGAATAAAGTAAAATATAAGATTTTATAAGCAAAGTTGTTTTAATACTGAATATTTAATTTCAAGTCTATCTGCTATTACATGTTAAAGATTTTTTTTTGATATATTTTGAAGTTATGAAATACTTATGTTATGTATATGTTCAGGTTCAATTATATCAGGTGACAATAGATTAATAATACCAGAAGTAAGAGTAAAATATAAGCTTGCATTCGTAAATGCAACTAACAGCTAGCGACTACCGGATTAACCAACTATTTTATGACCAATTCATTTAAATATGAATGGAATAGTGGCAGGTACTATTCATATCTAAATGAGTTGCCCATAAAATAGTAGGTTAATACAGTAGCCAACAGCGTTAGTTGCATTCGCGAATACAAGCTAAGACTGATATCATAGTGTATTATATTGCACTAATAATCAAATTGAGTTAATGTAAAAAAGGAATTAAAATTTATATGTTAATTAGTAAGCTTATTAATATGCATAAAAACACACTTGTTATACACTTCTTTTACCCCTATACTCATAATTGAAATACTAGATCGTATTTATTCTACTCTAATTTAGGGTTATTGTTATTCAAGTGCAATTAACTCCACTTGCAACACATATATATTTTATAATAGAATTGATTCCATATTCTGCACATTCTTAGCTTTACAATGATACCAAATCTCTG